GGAGCCTGTGCCCTCAGGGTCGGGCGAGACAGAGACCGTCCCTTCGGGTCGATCAAGACTGAAATACGTCGTTGATTATTTAGACGAGTCTTCATCCACGGTTCCGTAGATCCACTTTTCGGGTATCCTAATACTGATTCCGGACAGCTAGCCTGTGACAAAGTACCGGTGCTCATTATTATTATATATATGTTTGCTGTGAAAACATGTGCCCGGTCACCTGTCATAGAACTGTAGATGCGTGCATGGGTGATGGGTCTATGTCTATCCGGTGTGCCGGGCTCTGTCCATGGCGTGTTCTTATGTCCGCCTTGCTATGTTTTCGGCACATGCTCATGAGCCGCATTATTGCAATAGACCCTTGCCAAAACCGTGAAAGTGCCTTGTAGATAGGTCCCCTGCGTGATGTATCAGGTGTTGTTTCACAAATGGTGAAGCACACTAGGTGTCATGCATTGGTGAGCTAACATCAGTCTACACATTGATAGATCCAAATGCATGTCACGTTCTCTTGTATTACGCCTGTCGGGAAAAAAAACAATTCTCGCTTTCGAGATCAAACATTTTTAAATCATATCAAATCTATCAAAAAATTCTAACATTTTATGGCATCGTACCAAATAAGCATCATTAGATTAACCATAGAATAAATATGTTTTCAAGGTATACCTATTTAGATTAATAAATATTAATAACATTTTCTCTAAACTTAGTTAAAATTAAGAAACTTTAACCCAGTGCAAATCTAAAATTGTACCTTTTTTTAGGGAACGGAGGCAGTACATTGCAAGAATAGGTCGACGAGAGCATGAACGTAGGCTTTGAATTGATTCTGTGGTACAGGAGCGGGCCCACTTTGTATTCAAGTGTATGCAACTGAATATCCATTATTGGCCCCATTCGCTTTGCTGAAAAAAGAACCGAAACACTGTTTCGGCTGATTTGTTGTGAGAGGAAAATACTGTTCCAGCTAAAAAAATAAGCTGAAAAAGACGGATTATAAGAGAAGCGAAGAGGGCCATTTTTGCAAATTTTTTTTGTATATATAGTGTATCTATGTATATGCATCAAAAAATAAAAAGCAATTCAATCCAATTGGCCCAGGTCAGCCAAGGCCAACTCCCTGTGTCCATCCCCGCGCTGGGCCACTGGCCAAACGGCCCAATTGGCCCAGTCGACCGACTCCCCCAGCCCCCCTCATCTCCTGTCCTCATAAGGTGCTCGTTCCTCATCCATTATGTCCTCCTGACGCTCTGCTGTTCCTCATCCGCAAGATCGCAACCCTAACGGCAGGCGGCGGCGGTCGGCAAGCCGGCAAGGGCGGAGGCGCGGCGCCGTGGCGGCGCCCTTGCCACAGGACCACCACGTACGGCGGCCTGCGTGCACAGCCGGCAGCGCCACAAGGCCACAACAGCGGGCCAGCAGCCGGCGGTGGCGGAGCAGTGAGGACGGGAGCAGGGCAACAGGCGAGCAAGGACAGGACAGCAAGCCGGAGTCCCGGAACACTCTGTAAAATTAGTGAGCCGTGAGCATTTTTTATGGTCTGTAAAATTGAAAAATTGGTAATTGGGATTGCAATTTGTCAATGCTTGTGAATTTATGAAATTATTTATAAACTTCTTAAATTGGTGCTTGTTCTCCCTGTTGCAACTGCTGGTGTTGAGAGGGTCTTTTCTATAATGAATTTGATAAAGAACAAGAGAAGAAGTAAGATAGGGCAGAAATATTTGAATGGTTGCTTGGTCACATTGATTGAAAGGGAATTCTTCATGCAAGCTAAGGACGAGGATATCATCACTCATTTTTAAAGCATTAAGGATCAGAAAGTTGTCCTGTAGCTTGTAAGTTGAAAGCTTTGTTACCATTTTGCTATTTTATCCTCTATTTATTTCACATGTTGTCACTTTGACATGTTGATCATTAGTAGCTGGACAATTTCAAGTTGTGATCAATTTTATTAATCAATGATGCTACCACTTAATTCTATGTTATAAAACTATAATTTAGGCTGTCAAAAAAAAATTCTTGCCATTTGGAATTTTGAATACCCGTGGTCCAAATCCTGCGCCCGCCTCTGCTGTGGTAGATGACTTCTCTCTCCCTCCTAGGTATTATAATTCACTTTTGTGTTCAATCACTATAAAGTTAAAAGTCTTATGATCAAAGTGATTTTACAGATAAATACAGAAGAAACAGACAAAGACTTGAGTACCATTGATTAGGAGCATATAATGGGTTGAGCTTGAATTTTCTAATTCACGCCGCATTTGGCCACCAATCCTGCTGCATGTATTTCAACAAGACCTTAGCTTTAGTTTTTGTCGTTCTCACTCAACACCACACTAACTGAACATTAACACGGCTGCCGAGGCACGATAAACATTTCAATCTGGTGTGTTCTTCTAGGAAACCACCAGTAACTAAAACTCATTTCTAGCTCCTTGTTTCTTTCATTTGCCACAATCCAATCCAATAATTGGATCACCATATATCTAATAATATATCTTAGTAGATGGATCACGACAAAATTTGAAGTATAGTTAATTACATGAAGGTACACACACTGCTCTGAATAATTGGACTTCTCTTTCTGTGTCTAGTGAAAGAAAAAAAAAACAAAATTAAACACAATGAGTCAATTGATTATATGCATGCAGGTAGGCCCCTATAATGGCAGACATGGTTCAGTGGAACTAGTGCCTGTAACCATGTTTATAAACGTACGTACCATTAACTGGAGCCTTCATCATTTGGAGACATGCCCAACCCAAGGTCATAATAATGCATATGGATCAAGTAGCCCTAGCTTTATTTCATGATGGTTAAGAGATCAGCCTATTGTTTTAGTGTGCCTTCTCCCAAAGGCATTTTGAGTAGCACTTTCCTCAAGTCATCATTTTTTCCTTATTGTTCTATATATATTTGGCTTGCAATAGCACTTCTTGGTTTAGCTAGGTAGGTTGTCTAATGCATGCAGGAAAAGACATACAGTTAGCAATTGGTTCTTAAATACTCACTCAAGGCCTGTTTAGTTCCCAAAATTTTTTGTGCAGTATCCATCACATCAAATCTTGCGGCACATGCATGGAATACTAAATGTAGACGAAAAAAAAACTAATTGCACAGTTGGGTGAGAAATCGTGAGACGAAACTTTCAAGCCTAATTAGTCCATAATTAGACACTAATTACCAAATACAAATGAAAGTGCTACAGTAGCCAAAACTCAAAATTTTTTCATCTAAACGCGCCCTCAGTGCCTATCTGGTAAAGATATATAGTGTATGTAGTAAAGTTGACAGTGCCTTTTTCACTGAAAAAAAACTTGACTGTGCAGGTCAAATCAGATATAGGGTGAGACCTTCATTACAACTACAAGGCCGGTGGCTTTGCTGAGCAATGTAGGGGCCCAGACATGGACGGATCCAAGGGAAGAAAAGGGGGCCACTGAGCCCTAGTGGAGCCGTTATACTAGTATCCAGATTTTATATCGCCAACTTTATGTATATCTGCCTAGTTCGTCAGATCAAACTGTGGTGCATGCAGCCAGCAGTATCTGAACCTGAATATTTAAAGTGCTAGAACATTCGATTAAATACCGGCCGGCCTACTGAAAAAACTAGCTAGGTAGTTAGGTTACATGAGAGTGTGTTGGTCTTCGAGATAGTGACAAAAGGAAACATGTTTGCCACCCGACGACAACTACTCCCTTGGTTCCAAAGCATATATCGTTTTGCCTTTATAAGTATATAGTTTTTCTATATATCTACTCATACGTTATGTCGTCCAGCAGATATATAGAAAAAAAATATATCTAAAAAAATCAAAATAATTTTTTAATTTAGAACGGAGAGAAGTATGTACGAGTATCACATCCTCATGGACATTGGATTGTTGTGTTAGTGTGCCTGAAGTCTCTAAAGACCTTGTTCATTATTCATACGGTAAAAGGAAAAGTCAGGGAGTAGGAAAGCACAAAGAGATACTATTATATATATGCTCCTTTAGTTGTTAAATAAATATTTAGTACACGTACGTATGAGTGGATAACTCTGTGAAATGCAGCATAAAGAGTGACAAGTCGCCAAAGTTCTTGTTTAGAGTATTGAGTACTTTAGGTTGGGATCCTAACTTAAACAGCCCTTTTCTCTCTTCTAGCTCGAAGCTCGAGAAAGCAAACGGCTTTTGGCGAGGAGCAACTGCCGATTACATGATTATATCAAACTCCAAAGCGATTCGCATGTTTCCGGGGATTTAATCAGATTTCCCTGTTAGGATTTCAAATTTTGGAGGGAGAGAGAGGTTGCCACATGGCGACAATTAACTACATGGATTATGTTATATATATCATGCACAGACATATATACATTATTTATTGTTAAACGAATGTTGCAATTTTTCATATATAGAAAGTGACATTTACAATATGTGAGTGAATCTCTGTTAGTGTGTAATCATACATTTTAGAGACATGTATATATACATTTTATTTACAATGGAAGAAACTAGCAGCTCCTCCAACCAATGGAAGAAACATTTTGCTAATTCTAGTTCTCTTAAAACTGCATGCCACCTTAATCATGCATGCATTTCGTCACCATTTTCCACTGGAGGAAATTACACTCCCTTACCCTCCTCCAAATGGAACTGCAGGGAAGAGATGAATCTATGACAAATGCCATCCAATAAATCTGTAGAAACCAAAAAAGAAAAAGATAACAGCTCCAGAATGAATGAACAAACAACCAATTCTTCCATTTTAACACAATTTGATTTCACGGAATTAGGACTTGCATTAACATGTACTAGAAGAGAATTTGTACAACTGCACTCACTCACTCACTCTATCATCACTCTCACTCACCACCAGCAGCCAATTCATTACAATCTGCATCACATACACTTGCTTGAGCCCAGCCTTCTGCTTGGATCACTTGAGCTCAAGCATCACATACACACACTGCCACACTGGCAGTCCTTCCTACGTACCCAGTCCAGCTAGCTAGTTCGCCTTGGCTGCGCGGGCGACGAAGACGGCCTCCAAATCCGCCGGCACACGGAAGAACTCGTCGAGCACCTCGCCGCCGTTGTAGTTGCACCGGCGACCGGCGGCGGCGGCAGTGCCTCTGATGATGGACACCGCCGTCCTGGGCTTCTTGGGCGCGGGTGGGCACGTCGCCGCCTCCGTTGGTATCCTCCACCCTTCCCCTCTCGGCGTCACGGGCTCTTCCTCTCCCTCCTCCTCGGTGGCGGCGGTGGCGGCGTGCCGTCGGCGGCCGGTCTTGACGGGCTTGAGCTGCTGCAGCGGCAGGGCGGCGATCCCGGCGCCGGATAGGCCCAGGACCCAGACCTTGCTGCCGTCTTGGTGCTGCTGGTGCTGGTGCCCGTGACGATCTTCCACTCGCGTACTGTGCACCAGCTGCTGCTTCTTCTTCAGCTCCGGCAACCCCGTCTCTACTGACGACTGATGATAATTAATCTAAGCAGCAGCTGAGAACCAAGAATGCAAGCAATTGAAATGGAGTGTAGGAGGGTTGAGAGTGAGAGCTTTGTGCACAGAAGAAAGAGGGTGCTACTGGAGGCTAAATAAGTGAGGCTTTAGGCTTTCTGTGCTGCCTTCTTTTGACAAAAGCTCAAGGGGTTACTCTTACTCTTGTGTGTGGTGTGTATGTATATATAATATATATACATATATAAAAAGGGAAATTATTTCAGGCAGGCAGGCATGATGAAGGCAAGGAAGAAAGAGCAGGGAGATTGGACACACTTGCAAAGTTGTAGAGGCAATCATTCTTTCCAAGTCATTACATTACTGATGACAAACGGGCCGTTATTCATGGGCTGCCAGTTCCAGGCCCACGATGCTGCTAATAGCACGGCCCAATGCAAATCTCACTTGTGCTACCACTATTTTTTCCCTTCCTTTTTGGCACAGTCAGATCAGTACTAGTACTCACACACACTGTAGACTGTACCAGCTTCTAAACAGGAAGACATGTGTGACTGTGGTTGCTGACAGCCTGACAGTGACACACCTACATGCATGAGTGCATGATGTCCGATGACAACTATCCTGTCCATCACACAAGAAGAGATTGCGATCAGAGATTATCCCAGCCCTAGCTTACCAGGCATGAATGCCCTGCAGGCCTGCACACATGACCACTTCACCAACCGGGCAACCAAACCAGCACACTGAAAGGAAGTTAGGAACTCTCATATTTGACCTTACTGACTCAACCATGATGATGAGTGCCTTTCCAGTTCTGAATTCTGATTCCTTCCTGTCATTTGAAGCCAAAGAAACAAAACCCTTTTGTTGTCGTTGTTGGTGTTGTTGGGACTGAGACCGACATGGGAGCCAGCTCGATCCTGCTGCACTGCATATGGCACAATGTCACCGTTGCATAGCACCTACTCCCTCCGTCCCAAACTATTGAGGTTTGTCGCTTTTGTTGTCGTTGTTGGTGTTGTTGGGACTGAGACCGACATGGGAGCCAGCTCGATCCTGCTGCACTGCATATGGCACAATGTCACCGTTGCATAGCACCTACCTACCTTCTGGCTCTGTCATTTTGCATTATAATATAGCTCCCTCTTAATCTAGGCACCTAATCTGGTCTCAGGTAAAGAGAAGAAAAAAAAAAGCTCAGGGAAGAGGGAAGATCTTGTGTACCTCTAACTGTCGTGGTGGGGCCCGCGTGACGTACGCGCCATGCGCGCAGGGACAGCTCAACCACGAGAGGCCACCCCCATTCTTTCTTTCAGGAGGAGAAGAAGATGGTTCCTGCCTGATCTGCAAATCCAGGTCTATGATAGATCCACCAATCATTCTGGCCCCGTTTGTGTGCCCTTAAACCCGGCTTGATCCGCTTATTTTTTTCATCCTGAAGAGTGTTTTTCTCTCACAGATTCCTCCAGCATTCCTCCAAACCATCCATATTCCTCCAGAATTCAGACAAGCGAACAGGCCTGTCTGTCAGAAATGACTGTGTTAATGAAATGGAAATATAAATAATAAATAAAGCGAACAAGGCATTCCAGCTGCTTTTGTTTATGGGAGATATTTATTTATATTTATCTATTCCTGTGCAGATTGAGTCAAGCAGTATCAAGTGAGCCAGTGAGTAGTGACTGTGTTCAGTGTGGCTTTCTGAATAAGCCTCTGCATGTATGCTGTGTGTCAACTTAAGCAGACATGCCATTCTCAGGGGCCCACATGTCAAACACATGCTGGAAAAGTGTGGGCCCACCGGATCCACTCTGGAAAACCAGGTTCTTTCATCTGCTTTGCGATTTCCAATCTCATCGTCCTGGTAACAAAACTCAAGCCTGCTTGGAACGTAGAAATTTCATAGGATTTACGTAGGAATTTCATAAAAATTAGGTAGTGTTTAAATCTAGGGGGTGTCACATCGGATATCACATGGGGTGTCACATGAGAGTGTTCGGATATTAATAATAAAACAAATTACAGAAGTCATCAGGAATCCGCGAGACGAATTTATTAAGCCTAAGTAATTCGTCATTAGCATATGTTTACTGTAGCACCACGTTGTCAAATCATGGGCTAATTAGGCTTAAAAAATTCGTCTCGCAAAGTAGTCACAATCTGTGCAATTAGTTATTTTTTAGTCTATATTTAATACTCTATGCATATGTCTAAACATTCGATGTGATAGGGACTAAACTTTAGAAAAATAAACTAAACAAGATCGGTTTAATTTCACAAGAAAAATATAGGAAAGAGAAAAAATCTCGCGTTCTCTAAAGGTTGGCTGGTTGCTCCCTGGACCAACAACTTGACCACTAGCCTGCAAGTGCACAAGCATTTCACCGGAAAAGGCTTCCTCTTTGCCCCTCTCTCCACCCTAGCTAGATGCCTGTTTGGGCGGGGCCCAGTTGCTAGCATGCATGCCTCGTCTAGTGATCTGCAATCGAGATCAGCTAGCATGTCTGATGAGTGGACTGATGATCTGGCAAGTGGCGAAAATACAGTATCGCCTCCATGCACTGTTCAAAGTCTAGCCTGAAGGAGGAGCCACAAGAAGAATTTGCACCTTGGCGGTGCCCAGGCGTTCCAGATAAGTGTAGGGAAATTAGAAAGGATGTGACACAGCAAACTGGATGCCGTAGGCCGACCTTGCCGAGTACTGTCCTCAGGTTATCTGGTCATCCTGTTTAAGGTCTCTAGTTTATGCAATTTGAGGCTTCAACTCCACGGATCTAGACAAGAACGCAGGACAAACCAATGCATCAATGAACTATTCATTAGTAATTGCATTGCATGCCAGTTTCTTCTATGCCCTAGATGAGCCAAACGCTAGCATCAACATCATCGCACTGGCAGCCCATCCAATTTTCATGCTGCTCGAGCTGGGGGAAGGGGCTAGGAGTTAGACGCGTACACGGCAGTACCAGACTTTTGGTTTGAGTCCTGCTCCACATCCACTCCACGGAGCAAACACATCCTGACATTGTGCAGAAGCTGTAGCAGCAACTGTCAAGACTACTTGCAAACCACAAGTTTACACATATTTTCGCAAAGAATTTCACAAGAAGCAAATGGATCCTTGTAGAAATAATCAGAAAAGGTTCTAGCCGTACACTAATGAATTTCATCCATACGAAATTCCTACATTTCATTTCACAAAGAAAAAAGAGGTGTTACCGTATTTCACGTGTGGCCTCTGAGGCACGCCTCAACCTGAGGTGACACGCAGGATACAAAAATGTCGCTGCATTTGCATCCATCCAGCATCCACGATGGTGGCAATGGTCGAAGATGCTCGATCTCCTCATCTCAAATATACTAGACTACACTTTATGTGACGTATGGCTTTAGTATATCTCTCCTTTTTGTTTGTCCGGCACACATCGTCCTCAAATATTCCCGGGCTGGCACAAATTGCTCGAATTGACAGGCCATGTATATATCGGATGACGAAATCAATTCAGAAATCCGTAGGTGGTTATGACTTTGGTGGCATAAAATGACAATACGGCTTTAGCATGGCCGGTGCCGATGCCGGTGTTCGTTTCCGGTCGCCACCGCCGCATGTTCGCCGCTGCTGTTGCCTTCATCCACAGATAACTGGGCACCCCCTCCTCTGTTTTTTTTTTTGGAGGAAGGCACCCCTCCTCTGCTTTTTAGAAGTGAGATGTCCTCCTCTGCCTTTTCTTTTCCTTCTGAATTACTTTCATCCTTTCCTGCAGCATCAGATGACGTCATGACTCGCGAGTGAAGAATCTTGAGATTTTGGCATGTCGAATATGTCATTCACAAAAATGGAAACTGTGTATGGACAGAATGTCAGATCAGAATTTGTGGTGACATGAAAACCAGAATTACTGAATGGTTACGGCGTCTAGAGAAAAAGGTTTGTGTTGATTCAAATATAAAATCATTGACCCTGTTTGTGCTTATTGCTCTTGTGGGACCACAATTGACGATTTACATAGGACCGAAAGCAAGCAGTTCCCGAACCAAAACATCAACCTCTGACAGGAGGTTTTCCAAGAGATGATAGAATCTAGGTACCATGCTGAGTCAGGCTTGACAGCGGCACCCCGGGGCAGCTGGAAGCTTTGCTGATGAGGATTTGCAAAGCAGTCATGTCATCCTCCAATGGCGCCATGGCATCCCTTCTTTCGGTGCAGCTATATGCTAGGATAACAATAGCATTACCTGCCTCAAGTTTTGATAATCAGTAGCAGGTGAGGATCAGCACTGACGGCTGGACTTCTTTTCTGCCGCAAGAACTTGGACTGCGTGAGGTGGATCCAGCGTGGCCCTTGGGTTGGCCAACTTGGTATTTTCCTTGTCCAGGGCGGTTGAACATGTGGAGGTCTTTTGCTGCGGGCCACCATCCCCTGCAGCCACTAGACTCGATTCAGTATTCTGGGGCTTGCATTCTTACCCCCTTTCTCCATCCCTGTGCTTCAGTGACTTCAGAGATCAGTCCACAGGGAGCAACCTCAGCGCCATAGCTCTGAAACAAGATTTTTTTTTAATTTTAACACTTTTTGAAAACTAATTTTAAATCTAACACCTCCGATTTTTTTTAAACTAACAGCCGCCCGCCAAATGCGCCGCTGCCATCGCCCGCCCCAGCGCCAGCGCCCCGCCCCGGGCCCCGCCCGCCTTGGCCCTCATACCGATCTTGGCGCTGCAAGCCCTCGCTGGGCCAATAAAACTACGCGAGCCTAGCCGCACGCAGACCCCGCAAGGCGTCAAGGCCCCCCGCCTCCTAAGGTACCTCCCTCTCGGTTTAATGTTATTATGATTATTATTGTTTTAGGATAATTAGTTTGTGATATACGTATGTAGTTTTTAGGTTTTAGGTTAGGATTTTTGGTTTAGGGATTGATTAGGTATTTATTATTTAGTTTGTAGTTATTTATTTAGTTAGGGATTGTAGCGATGCGGTTGTCACTGCTAGATCCGGTTATTATTTAGTTTATAGTTAGTTATTTAGTTAGGAATTGTAGCGAGCCGATCGAGGGATCGCATTCCATTCGAACGTTTCGATCGTGGGTTCATCCCGCCGTGGTCGTAATGCTGAGCGTAACTGGCTCCCTCGCTTCTTGGTTGGCTCTGTCGTACTACGATCTCTAGCCTCTATCCACGTCCCTAGCACATGACCATCGGGCTTTACCTCTTTTGCGCGCTTATTTATCCTAGCCTTGTGCCGATTTATTTTGGGTTAGAGTGAATATTTTACTTTGCAATGCTATATAATGTTAATTTGAATTTTGTTAATTTGAGTACTCTAACGCTTTGTTTATCAATTTGTAACAGGATGACCCATCCCACGCAGCACCCGTTGTACCCCATTATTGAGGTGGAGTACGACGACCAGCACCGAGCACACATCTTGAGTGACAACGACGCAGAGGTGGCCTTGCCTCCTTTGAGGCCCCGCACGCACACCAGAGCGCACCAGTGGGACGAGCGTTATGCGCCGTACATGTGGCGTGCCGGCTTCCTCGAGCTTGTCTGTGTTGTCAACCACGGTCTTCCGCCCCTTGACCCAGCACTACTTACCGCAGCTGTAGACAGATGCGAGTGCATTCTTTGTACGTAAACTTTCTTATAACAAATTTGAGGCAACTAACAGTCGTTCTATTCTTATAACAGGTGGAGGCCTAAGACCCACACGGTCCACCTACCTTGTGGCGAGATGACCTTGACATTGCAGGACGTGAAGGCTATTTTAGGCCTTCGGTTGGGGGGACTTCCAGTGACAGGAATAGTTGACAACGATCACTGGAGGGAGCTGGTGGCTCAGTTTACTTGCTTTCTTCCACCGGACGACGAGGCTTCCAAGAAAAATAAGTGAGAAATTCAAGCCTATTTAATATTTGCATCGCTTTCCTACAGCCATCGGGTCTCATTTTCTTTGTTAAATTTCAGGAAAACTTCTGGTGTTTCATCGTCCTGGATCACGGAGCGCTTTGATTACTTGGACCCACAGGCTGAGGAGGCTCAGATCGACAGGTTCGCTCGAGTGTGGCTCTGGCACTTTCTTGGTGCTTTCATCTTTCCAGACGCCTCGGACAACACCATCAGCTGAATCTTCCTTGACATACTACACCAGCCGTGGGAATACATAGCGGCGTACAATTGGGGCAGCGCTGTCCTGGCATGGACGTATCGACAACTATGCGTTGCCTGCCGTTATGCGAACCTTAGGGGTTGCTCGTACCTACTCCAGGTTTGGTGTTGGGAACGATAGCCCGTTGAGAGGCCCCTTAATATGGGTTTACCGGTAAGTACTTGGGTTCATTATATTCTTCGATATGGTTACATATGATGAGTTTATTAATGGCTAATTCATTATCGTGGTCAATGCAGCAATGGAACGGGCAGGATACACTCCCTACAGCTCTGTTTATCTGGACAGAATCAGAGTTAGTTAGAGGGAATGCGAGGCGCAAGTACATGGAGTACACGGACGGTCTCGACGTCCTGACACAGCACCAGGTTACGCTCTTTTTACTATCATATCTGTGTCTTGTTCGATCTACACTATATCACAGCCTAACTCAATTACGAAATGTTCAGGTGCATTGGTGTCCTTGGGATGCTCCGGAGTTCCAGAACTATCTCAGTCCTGTCACTAGGAACGAGTCAGAGGAGTATCGCTGCAACGTCCCTCTTATTTTCTTCCACGTGGTCGAGATTCACTTGCCCGTCAGGGTCTACAGACAATTTGGAAGAATGACAGGCTGCCCACCACCGCTTTACTCCACCAACCAAGGATTGCACGGGTGCGTTATCGATTAATAACAGAGCTACAATCCAGAGGTGTGTGTGGTAGAACTAACATCGTTTTGTTATAGGTATGACCGCAGGAAGATGTACAAGACCAAGGATTGGCGCGTGACACACAACGTGCACATCCACTTGTGGGAGACCAGGGAACGGCAGCCAGTCCATGCGGGTCCTCCACACGACCAGCACACCTTCAACGAGTACCTGCGCTGGCTTCACAGGTCTACGAGGACACATATCAAGCCCCCGTACACTGAGGAGGCGATTGACGAGGACTCAGAGGAAGATATGATCGAAGATGTGTACGACGTTGCCACTAGAGAGGACACACAGCTACAGAGAGCCCCGCTACAAAGATACGTGGTAAGATACTTGAATGGTACAATTTGTTATCCATTTAGTATTAGTTATGTATACTAAAACTGTTCAACCGCATTCCTGAACCCAGGCGACATAATTGTCGAGGCTGTCCAACGAAGCAGCGTACCGGCTTCACGAGTCTAGAGGGTAGGGGCCAGCCATTCTCGAGGCTTTTGTGGAGGTAAACATAAACTAGTCCGTTCCGAAATTGTTTCTTTAGTGTATATGCGTTTGTGAAATGCGCTAACTTTAACGTCTATTTTTGCAGAAGGTGAAGAAGAGCTGCAGGATGCTAGCTCAAAAGTTGAGCTGCATGGACACTTCTTATGAGGAACCGCCACTCCCAGCGCGGTCGGGTGGTAGTCTTCAGCCTCTTTGAGGACGCCAGCCGGCTCTTCTCAGCCGGTGACAGGTGCCACTTCCGCAGTGCGTACACCACCACATTATAGCGCTGGGAAGGACCCTGCAATCGAGGACGACGACGACGAGTGGGAAGATTGGCCGCAGGACGAGATCGGCATGTCTCAGCTAGGTGGTGCCCCGCTTGGCACCCAAGGAGCATCACAGGTACTAACAAAGGTAGTTTCTTTAATTACGTAGGCTACATGAACTAACGATCACAAAGAATTCTAAGTAATCGTGCATATCACATACTTGCAGGGTACGAGCCATACGCACCGGCGACGCGACCACACCGACGTCGGCTACACTCCTAATGTGTTGCCAACAAATCCGAAGAGACAGAGGCATCTGAGGAATCCTTACACTCCTGAGTCTTAGTTTGTTAGGTCGAATTATTATTGGGGTCTGAAACTTACAGGCTTATTTGGTTATGTTATGTCAAACTTAAGTCAAACTTATGTGGCAGCTTGTCAACTTATGTTATTTGTTTCATATTCGTTTCAATGCGTCGCGATGTCACTGCTTGCGAGATTAAGTAGCAACTAGTTCAAAAAACGGCAGTCCCGGGGTATCTCGACACCGGTGGCCGGCGTCTTACGCGAGGGGTCGAGGAAGCCGGGGTCCATGGTCGCGTACCCGCCGATCCTACAATATGGGGCCAAAAAGCCAAATAAATAAGTTCCCTTAAAAATATTCGTTTCAATCCGATCCAATTTTTCGTAATCGATTAGTTAACATGGTGGTTAACCGTATTATGAAAGACGGAAAAAATATCAATTGCCTTATCAATTTCTCTATTCGGCCTTGAAAAAATTTAACAAAATATAGAAACAAATTCACTATTCATTTTACGTCAAACAATACTTACAATAACTCCCACCATCGGCGCGACGCGTTCCGATTAAACAAATCCAGTATCATGGCCGGGTTGGCGGCGGCGCGCGGCGGGCGTGCTTGTCGCCGGGTGGCATGATCGGCAATGGGGTTTATTTGCCCAGACACGCCGCCATGACCTCGGCGCAAAGATCTGCCGCGCCAAGATCGGTGGCGCGGCAAGCCCTGCCCCATCAGCGGTCAGCTCTCCTGGTCGCCGCCACGTCAGCCCTGTGCCGCGCCACCATGGCGCGGCACAGGCATTTGGCCACGCCAGGGAAATAGGCGCGGCCAAAAGTGTTACTTTAAAAAAAATCGAAGGTGTTAGATTTAAAATTAGTTTTCAAAAAATGTTAAAAAATCCTGAAACAATGGGCTGAACAAAAAGTTAGACTGGGTTAGGAGCTCTTGGTCATAAACCGCAGCAGTCAGTTCATTTAAGATTCAGGACTAAGGGTGTAGAAAGAATGGCACATAACATATTGGTAGATGAATTTGAAAGAAACCATGTTTGTTAAAGTGAAAGCAACCTTGAATGCATGTTTAACAGTACACAACACAATAATTATACCAAAGGCCAGGTTACTTTCATGCTGTCCTGCTTTTCACTTGATTTGATCCAGGTAAACTTCCTCCAGGCTGCAGAAACATTGGCCAAACCCGTTGTTCCCTTGCGCCCTCAAGTGCAATATGAGGTAAGATGAACGCAGCCATTTCATAAATAGTTGAAAGTGACTAAAGCATACATGGGAAGCCTAACCAGAATTTGCACCATAATGGATTTCTGAAGACCAATCATGTTATCTGATATGTGAAGCCAAGCAAAAAGATTAGCAGATAATAGTATCTTCACACCAAAAACTAAACTTTTCTTTTGAGCCGCACTTAGAAAAGAAAAAAAAAAGATAACAAAAGATGAAGGATCCAAGAATGGTACTCGCTGATCAATTATCGATCCAATAATGTCACATAGAAAAGGTTCTGTGGGTCCATCAAAGCAAGAACGCACACAATGGTCCAGCCACCACAACCATGTGCCTCACGTACCAGTTGGCATTTTGGCACCTTATGCTGACTCTCCATGTTCATTGATCTGCCATTTCAGGGATAACTTCTCCCGCTTAGTCAAGATTACACTTAGGCAAGTGCTAATTCCCTGTCAAGAGCACTGTCAGTCTGTCACTGCTTCCTAACCACTGCTCAGCAATAGAAAACATATTGACAGAGGGGCAGGGAAAGGTCGGTATAAAGACCACCAGCTTTTCGAGAGCTCACAAGCCTTTTTCAGAGAGAAGCCACTCCATCTTTCTTTTTTCCTTTTTCCTTTCTTCTTTCTTCTTCTTCTTCTTCTTCTTTCTCATTCTGATTTGGAGCAATGGCGACCGAAGATGAAGCGAGAGAAGCAGCAGATGGGACGGTAAGAAATGTCTCCTCTTGGCCTCAGAACTTCTGCATCACTTGCTTGCTTCTGTTTTCCTGCATGCATACATACTTTCTTAAGATGTAGAGCTACGTAAGGAGATTCATTGTCACAGGAATCTTATCAGCTGTCATGAGAAGCATGTTTCTAACAATTCAATAGTTTTTTTACCATTTTGCAAGGAAAACCCATTATGGTACCTTCTTTCTGGTTCCACAGTTGCTACGTGTTTACTGTTAATCTCCTTTCAGTAACATGAAGGAAGAAGGATTCTTCTTCATGCAACAAACTATAGAAATGGTGCTGCACTCATTTCTTTCAGTTAAACAAATGATCTTCAAAAGCAACCAAGTTTCCTTAAAGAGTGAAAGAATTGAACACAGTAGGAAGAGTTATCATATTGTCCTTGTTTATAACAAGCTTAGTTAAGATGTATTTTGAAATTGTGTTCTGTTCTTGATTTGATTGGGAAAAGGTACATGTGAAATTGGTTAGTATTGTAGTATATGTCTGAAGGATCCAGGGATCAAGAAAAATAACGATGGAAAAATAGAAGTTACAGTTTCATAGGTAATTACCCATGGTAAGGTATCACTGAGTGACATGCTTTGCTCTTCTCTTTTGATTACTCCTTTTTCTCAACCTAGTATTGCTCTCCTGAACTTGATAGATGGATGTGAATTCACCCAACTTCGAGAAAATAATGTTAGTCAAAGGATTATATAACATTTTTTCCTCCTAGGTTCAACCCATCCAGAACACCCACCCCCCAAAAAAAAGAAAAGGTAACAATAAGGATAGACAAGTTTAACAGTTTGGTCAACTGTTGTGACGTGAATAACAGGGTTAGGTAAACATGCATAAGCATCTAACATTAATTTACACTGAGCGTCAACCATCCAGTGTGGTGATTAGATACAAAGGCATGAAGAGAGCAAAAGTCTACTTAAAGCATGCCAAAACATATAGTTGCAGCACTAACACGCTTAATAGGAACATTCAGTATCACAACCCTTCATGTAAGAACTAAACAAGGTTTTTGGAGAGGCACAAACTCATCCAGTTAGGATGCCGGGGCAGTGTACTATTTGACTAGTCAGCATGTTCTTTTTGACCACTTGCTGCAGTACTAGAAGTCCTCTAGAGGCTAGAGCCATGAAATGGAAACTCATACATGTACTCAAACTGCATGTGCCATTTATCAGTAAGTCAGTTGGCCAACGAGAAATGGCGACTGGCCGACTGCCATGCAGGACAGTCTGCTTGCACTTTTGCAGTGCTGCAGTACACTCATGACTGGATGTCCTTTTGAGTATATTATGGCTGTAATTGAACAAAGTCAAGGGATAGTTAATATAAGATTGTACAGGTTAACATTTCCTTTTATATTCCTACTTTGTTCATGACTACTATGGATAATATAAAGCCTAAAATATACTAACATTTGTTGTCTATGTTAGTCAGTTAAAAATACATCACAAATTAATAATATTATTATAAATGTCCAATGTTGCATGAAATCCACTATTTTAATGCCAGATTTATCTATAACTTCCCAGGAAGTCCAAGTGGAAGCTGTGGATTTAGGAACAGTCCATTTGCAAGCACACCCAGAAGGCAAGCTTTCATCTCTGATGGAGATCAAGAGCATGGGAGAAACCATCGATTCAACTGAAGGAACGTTGAAGATTCCAGAGGATCAAGTTTTTGTAGAAGCACCCTCTGATGTCCAACTTCCTCCAGAACATAATCTAAATGGCGAAGCATCTTCTGTGAATGGCCATACAGACAAAGAAGAGAAGATTTCAAATGAGCAGCCGCATGACAACGACCAGGAAGAAGCAGAACTAGATCAGAGCAACAGAATCAACAAAGAAGATGTGACTGATGGTTTAAGCCATGGGGAGAGCACAACAGAAGACAGCTGCCTTCTGAAGCACAAGAAAGATGAAGAACCCAAGGGTGATGACCAACAAGATTTAGGTGTTACAGTGGATGATGACTCGGTGCAGGAAGACACGCTGAAAACTGACAATGCTATTGAGCAAACAGATGATGGTCAGCAAGACCAAAATCAAGAACCAGCAAAGGCAAATGAGAACACAGAACCTGCAAGCATCACAAACAATGCCGATGTTGACAATGCTATTGAGCAAATAGATGATGGTCAGCAAGATCAAAATCAAGAACCAGAAAAGGCAAACGAGAACACAGAACCTGCAAGCATCGCAAACAATGCTGATGTTGAGATTGTAACTGAGGCACCTACTGGACTCCAAGCTCCTGTGGAGAAATGTATGAATGATTCTGATGGCATTCCGGAGACTATTGATGAAAAGACAGAAACAGATGAACCAGCTAAGGCAGATGGTGTTGTTCATCCTGAAGAGGTGGCAAAAGTAGAAGATCAACAGAGTCAGCAAGCTGATACGATGGATGCAGAAGTGGCCCTGGAAGAGATTAAATGTGAAGAAACTGATCAGCAGGAAGAGAGGCCTAAATCTGAAGCTCATGAGCCAACAATTGATGCTCAAGGAGTGTTGAATCAAGAATCTGCTGAAGAAATTGATGACCCGATGAATGAAAAGATTGAAGAAACTGTGCACCAGAGGAAAGTGGCAGCTCCAAAGGAGACAACACTAGAACCTGAAGCAACAATGAGTGCTCCACCAGTAAATACTCAAGTGCAGAACCAGGAATCATTAGAAGAAATAGAAGATACTGAAGCAGAAATCCATCCAAGCAGTGGTTTTGGGGATGCAATTCCAGAAGATCAATCTAATTTAGGTGTTACAATAGACAATGACACTGTGAATGAGGACACAATGAGAGCTATTGAGCAGCAGGATGATGGTCAGCAAGATGAGGATCTAGAACTAGAAAAGGCAACTGAGCATACACAATCTGCAAGCATGACAAACATTCCCCATGCCGAGATTGTAACTGAAGCACCTTCTGGAGTCCAAACTCCTGGGGAGCCGAATCTGGACAACTCTGATGCTGTTCCAGATACTATTGATGGAAACACAGAAACAGATGAGCCAGCTAAAGCACACGCTGTTGTACATCCTGACCAGAAAGAGAGCTTTCCAGAAGATACATCTACTGCAGAACCTACAAAAGAGGTGGTCAAAGCAGAAGATCAACACAGCCAGCAAGCTGATACGATGGATGCAAACATGGTGCAGGAAGAGGAGCCTAAATCTGAACACGCTGATAAGCCAGCAACGGATGCTCTTGAAGTGCTGAATCAAGAATCTGCTGAAGAAATTGATGGCCCAGTGAATACTGAAGAAACAGCCCACCAGGAAACAACACCAGAATATGACACTACAACAAGGGAGCCACCTGTAGATATTCACGTGCAGAACCAGGAATCATTAGAAGAAAGAGAAGCTACAGTAGAAGAAAGAGAAGTTGCTGAAGCAGTTGATACTGAAGCACCAGTGCAACAAAGCAGTGTTGCTTTTGAGGAGGCAGTTCCAGAAGATCAACATAATTTAGGTGTTACAAATAACACAGTGCAGGAAGACACACTGGAAGCTACTGGGCAAACAAAAGATGGTCGGCAATACCAGGATCTAGGACCAGAAAATGCAACTGACGACACACAACCTGCAACCACGGCAAACATTCCTGATGTTGAAGTTATAACCGAAGCACCTTCTGGAATTCAAATTACTGCGGAGATCAATCTGGACATCTCTGATTCCATTCCAGATACCACCGATGGAAACACAGAAACAGATGAGCTATCTAAAGCACAAGATTTTGTTCATCCGGACAAGAAAGAGAGCTTTCCAGAAGATACATCTACCACAGAACCTACAGAAGAGGTTGTCAGATTAGAAGATAAACAGAGCCAGCAAGCTGATGCAATGGATGCAGACGTGGTGCAGGAAGTGGTGCCTAAATCTGAACACACTGATGAGCCAGCAACTGATGCTCTTGAAGTGCTGAATCAAGAATCTGCTGAAGAAACTGATGTCCCAGTGAATCAAAAGACTGAAGAAACAGCCCACCAGAGCAACATGCCAGCATCTGAGGAGACAAGGCCACAATCTGACGCGACAACAAGGGAGCCACCTGTAGATATTCACGTGCAGAACCAGGAATCATTAGAAGAAAGAGAAGCTACAGTAGAAGAAAGAGAAGTTGCTGAAGCAGTTGATACTGAAGCACCAGTGCAACAAAGCAGTGTTGCTTTTGAGGAGGCAGTTCCAGAAGATCAACATAATTTAGGTGTTACAAATAACACAGTGCAGGAAGACACACTGGAAGCTACTGGGCAAACAAAAGATGGTCAGCAATACCAGGATCTAGGACCAGAAAATGCAACTGAGGACACACAACCTGCAACCACGGCAAACATTCCTGATGTTGAAGTTATAACCGAAGCACCTTCTGGAATTCAAATTACTGCGGAGATCAATCTGGACATCTCTGATTCCATTCCAGATACCACCGATGGAAACACAGAAACAGATGAGCTATCTAAAGCACAAGATTTTGTTCATCCGGACAAGAAAGAGAGCTTTCCAGAAGATACATCTACCACAGAACCTACAGAAGAGGTTGTCAGATTAGAAGATCAACAGTTGCAGGAAGTGGTGCCTAAATCTGAACACACTGATGAGCCAGCAACTGATGCTCTTGAAGTGCTGAATCAAGAATCTGCTGAAGAAACTGATGTCCCAGTGAATCAAAAGACTGAAGAAACAGCCCACCAGAGCAACATGCCAGCATCTGAGGAGACAAGGCCACAATCTGACGCGACAACAAGGGAGCCACCTGTAGATATTCACGTGCAGAACCAGGAATCATTAGAAGAAAGAGAAGCTACAGTAGAAGAAAGAGAAGTTGCTGAAGCAGTTGATACTGAAGCACCAGTGCAACAAAGCAGTGTTGCTTTTGAGGAGGCAGTTCCAGAAGATCAACATAATTTAGGTGTTACAAATAACACAGTGCAGGAAGACACACTGGAAGCTACTGGGCAAACAAAAGATGGTCAGCAATACCAGGATCTAGGACCAGAAAATGCAACTGAGGACACACAATCTGCAACCACGGCAAACATTCCTGATGTTGAAGTTATAACCGAAGCACCTTCTGGAATTCAAATTACTGCGGAGATCAATCTGGACATCTCTGATTACATTCCAGATACCACTGATGGAAACACAGAAACAGATGAGCTATCTAAAGCACAAGATTTTGTTCATCCGGACAAGGAAGAGAGCTTTCCAGAAGATACATCTACCACAGAACCTACAGAAGAGGTTGTCAGATTAGAAGATCAACAGAGCCAGCAAGCTGATGCAATGGATGCAGACGTGGTGCAGGAAGTGATGCCTAAATCTGAACACACTGATGAGCCAGCAACTGATGCTCTTGAAGTGCTGAATCAAGAATCTGCTGAAGAAACTGATGTCCCAGTGAATCAAAAGACTGAAGAAACAGCCCACCAGAGCAATATGCCAGTATCTGAGGAGACAACGCCAGAATATGACGCGACAAGGGAGCCACCTGTAACTATTCAAGTGCAGAACCAAGAATCATTGGAAGAAAGAGAAGCTACTATAGAAGAAAGAGAAGTTGCTGAAGCAGTTGATACTGAAGCAACAGTGCAACAAAGCAGTGCTGTTTTAGAGGAGGCAGTTCCTGAAGATAAACATAATTTAGGTGCTACAAATAACACGGTGCAGGAATACACACAGGAAGCTATTGGGCAAACAAAAGATGGTCAGCAATACCAGGATCTAGGACCAGAAAATGCAACCGAGAACACACAACCTGCAAGCATGGCAAACATTCCTGATGAGGTTATAACCGAAGCATCTTCTGGAGTACAAACTCCTGTGGAGATCAATCGGGACATCTCTGATGCCATTCCAGATACTACTGATGGAAACACAGAAACAGATGAATTAGTTAAAGCTGATGGTGCTATCCATCCTGACCACAAAGAGAGCTTTTTAGAAGACACATGTATTGCAGAACCTACAGAAGAGGTGATAAAAGTAGAAGAGCAACTTGGTCAGCAAGCTGATGCGATAGATGCAGATGTGTTGCAGGAAGAGGCGCCTAAATCTGAACACGCTGATGAGCCAGGGGTCGATGCTCAAGAAGTGCTGAACCAAGAATCTACTGAAGAAACTGACGGCCTGGTGAATGTAAAGACTGAAGAAACTGAGCACAAGAGCAACATGGTGGTCCCTGAGGACACAATGCCAGAACATGATGCACACATGAGGGAGCCATCTGTAAATATTCAAGAACAAAGCCAGGAATCAGTAGGAGATGCTGAAGCAGTCGATACTGAAGCAGAGATGCAACAAAGCAGTGTTGCTTTTGAGGAGACAACTCCAGAAAACCATGTAGCAACCACAGAGCCATGTTCTGAAATCCAACATGCACATCCTGTGGAACCAGAGGAAATCAATGTCCCTGGAGATGGCAAAGATGATGAGATCACCAACATGAGCAATACTGAAAATCTAGTTCAAGATAATATTCTGCAGAGTGGGCCAACAATAGATACACAACCAGTTCAGGAGTTGGAACAAAATAAAACGGATGAAGCTTCTAACCAGAATCATGCTGCTGTCTTCAATGACCTAGCTCAGGAAGATGCTACAGCAACAAGTGAGCCACAAGTGATTGAAACAGAAGAACTAAAGGACATTGAAGCAACTGAAGCTGAAGAAATCACCAAACTCGACCATGTTACTCCTTCCAAGGAACTTGCAGTAGAAAATGATTCAACAGCAGATGAACCAGATAATGGTGAAATCCATCAAACCCTTGAACGAGATTTGGTTGAAGTTAAGGACACTGAAACTTACCATGAAAAAACTATATCTACTTCAGAGGACACAGTGGAAGATAATGTAGCAGCAGATGAGCCAAGTTGTGGTAGTCAAGAAGTAGATAATGCAGAATCAACAGAAGAAACTAAGCAAAACATAGCTGAGAATACTGCAGAAGTCTCTGATGTGGTGATTGTTGATGAGGCAATTGAACAGAATGTACTACAGACTGAGGATATCACTGAAACGCATAAACAGGAGCTAGAACCAGAAGAAACGAAGAGCACAGAACCTGTTGAATCAGAGGAAGCTTCTGATCAGAGGAATGCTGCACAATTCGATTATTCAGCTCAAGAAGATAATATACAGGAAAGTGAGATGCGGCAGACAGAGTCAGCAACAGAAATAAAGGAAATTGAAACCACTGAAGTTGAAGCAGTTCCCCGAGAAAGCAACACCTGTGTTTCAGAGGAGCCTTCTCAAGAAGATCATATAAAAGAAAGTGAAACAAGTTGTGACAATCAAGAAGTAAACATCACAGAATCTTCAGAAGTAATTGATGGTCACAAAGATATCATAACTGGAGGGATCTCTGACCAAAGCAACACAGCTTCTGCTGGGGGTTCAGCTGAAGAAAGCAATGTCCCTGAAGGCGAGCCACCTGCTGATATACAGGCTGTGCAGGATCTGGGATCAGAGGAGATAAACAACACTCAAATTGACGAAGTGAATGAAAAATCCCTTGAAATGAATGCTACTGTCTTTCAGATGCCAACTCAAGAAGAAAATCCAGCCACAACCGAATTGCATGAATCAACAGAGGTGAGCAACATTGAAGCCACAGAAGTGCACGGAAACCCCCACCAAAGTGATGCTGCTCCTCAGTCAGAATCAACAGAACCAAGTTCTGACACTCAAGCAGACAATTCACAGTTAGCAGAAGAAACTGAGGACACAGAAAATGTGAAAAGCAATACTGCTCTTGCCGAGGCAGCAGCTCCAGAAACAGATGCAACTGCTGATACATCATCTTTCCACGAGGCAGATCTAGAAGAGACCAAGGACACAGGAACAATTGAAACAGAGGATGTTATGACATCAAGTGACTATACATCAGAAAAGATCCTGGAAACCATGGAGACTGAAGCAGTCCCTCATGAGAGTAATTTTGCAGATATAAAGGAGCACACTGAAGACGATACTTCAACACCAAATGCCCCACATACTGGTAGTGAACCTGTTCGTGAACTAGAATCAGTTGAAGACAGCACTGACACAACGGAACATCCAGGAGAGACCCATGGTTCTACTTCTGATGATCATACTCCAACAGAAGAAAATACAGCAGTAACAGAGCCATCTTTTAACACACAAGAAGTGCAGAATCTGACATCTCAAGAAATCAAGGACATTGAAGATGACAAAACTGATGAATTCTCAGATATCAGTAGCTTTCCTACTCCTGGAGAGGCAGATCAAGTACCAAGAATTGAACCAACTCCTGATGTCCAAGAAGTGCAAGAACTGGGTTTAACAGAAGAAACAAGAGACATTGAAGCCGTGGAACCTGAAGATCAGCAAGAACACATAGTTTCTACCCTTGAGAAGCCAGCAGTAGATGGTGAGCCAAATGCTGATGCTCAGCAGGTTCATGAGGACAAACTACCAGAAGTGGAAGACAATAAAGCAATTGAAGCTGATGAAGCCTCCAAGCAAAGTAATATTGCCACTCTTGATAATGCAGCTGAAGAAAGGAATGAACTGGAAAGTGATCCAGATTCATATGCCCAGCCAGCAGAACAGGTAGAATTATCCAAAGACAATGAGAACAGCAAGCTTGTAAAGGCAGAAGAAACCTCAGACCAAAGCCGCACTGTCGCCCTTGAAGAAAGAACTACAGAAGATTCTGTTGCAAGCGAAATTGACCCACCTGTAGACATTAAACAAGAGCAACCACTGGAAGAAATCAAGGGTGTCGATACCACTGAAGCTGAAGAAGACTTTCATACAAGCCAAGCTGATGCAATAGAGAAACTAGCTTCAGACAATAATATAGCAACAATAGAACCGACTTATGATATTCAGCAAGTGGATGACTTGGAAGCAACGGAGGTAAAGCAGAACGCTGAAGCCATTAATGATGGAGAACAATCCAATATTGCTGTTTCAGAGGAACCAACTCCAACAGATAATGGAGCAACACCAGAAGATCAACATGTAGACTCAAATAAAAGAATGATGGGGAATGAAACTGACAATGTTATTTTGGCACACGGAATCAAAGATGAAATACAGAAGTCAGCAGAACTAAAGGTATCTATATTCTGTACATTAACCTCCCTTAGCATAAATGCTAGACCAATACAAGATGTACTACTGGCATACTGCTCAATTAGAATTTAAAATAACTGGGAACACCTAGCATAACCGCAGCATTTTATCCAGTATGAGGCAGATAACAAGCTGTGACGTCCATCATCTTATATAAGTATAAACACTATATGATCATAGATTGACTAGAATCATTATATTACATGAAGGAGTCCACCAAACAAAGATAAGCTTTTAACTTATTTCTGTCAGACTATTTTTCACTTTTGGCATGCCAGACTGTTTAGTTAAATCAACATAAAAAGTAAATAAGCAGGCTCTATGCAAAGTTGGAAGCTGAAACATATATTGTAAAGTATAAATTGAACAGTAAAGGTATAACTATTGCTAGCCAAGATGCAGAATTATTAAGCTAAATCTAAGTTGCATACTGCAAAGAAAGAAAGAAAGAAAAACATCAGTAGTGCTGTCTGAATATGACTCTAGTTTGAGTGAGGGTGTGGTGGGTGGTGTTTGTATTTGTACTCCACTTTTTTCTTCTTAATGCAATGATACACAGCTCTCCTGCGTATTTGAGAAAAAAATATGACTCTAGTTCTTTGAGATTGGACATAACTTGCAAGACACCTCACTAGTGTATCTTATACAGGACGATCCATGTGATTTGGGCGAAACTATTTTCACAACTCAGAGAAGTGAGAACTTGATTGATGAAGATGCTGTTCAAACTTCTGTCAGTGATACAGTAGAGACTTCAAACAATATCCATCAAGTCAAAGAAGAGCCAAATGCTGGAACTGAACATAATTCAAGCCAAATGGCAAGTGAGCGTAATGGAGAGAATGCAACTCATGTTCAAGATAGAGATGTAGACGTGCAAATTCTCACAGAAAGTGGCACTGCAGAAGCATCGCAGGCTTTATTTGAAAATGATCCTCAGGCAGCACAAGATACTACAGAAAAAGATGATACAACAAAAGGTAGTGAGCAAACCATTGATCACGATAGCAGGCAACATTGTGATGTAGCACTTCAACAACAAAGTTGTGAGACAGATGCCTTATCCATTTTGGAACAAGATGAGGCTCTGCAGAAGATTCACTCAGATCAAAAGCAGAAAGAAGATGAGGAGATTAAAAGTCAGAATGATGAACTTCAGGTAGATGAACAGAAACATGAAGACAATAGGGATGATTTAACCACAGAACCACTAGTGGAGTACCAGAATTTCGAAAATGGAGCTACAAACAAGACAAAAGACAATGATGCATTCGAGGTAAATATGATGACTCATTTCATGTGTTACTTTTTCTGGACTTCTTTAATCAGAAACAGCGAAAAATAAGTTTTTACCAATGAAACCCTGCAGGCTGATCAAACAGAGGCAGCCATTAGTGTGATTCTCAAGAATGAAGCCCTACATATATCCAAGGAATCCACCCCAAGCATTATGGATATGAAGGTTGAAAACATTAAGGAAACAAGTGAAGGAACTGAAGAAGATGATGATGCCAAAAATGATAACAAAGATGAGCAGGAGAATGCAGAAAACGATGATGTAGTAGCAAAAACTTCTACTAATGAACAAGCCGAAACAACTGATGAAATTAGAAAAGAAGAGGTCAGTTCAGAGTTTTCACCAGTGATGTGTGAGAAATTAGATATATGTTCTTTTGTTAATCGTATTAGTGTTGTATTGGTATATCACATCACCATTTTTTCTTGAAAAATTACTAGATGTGAAAACTACTCTTAGTGCATTGAATTATTGTAGAGAATTAGGGGAACACCTCGCACCTGATTAGGGGTGGGGGGGGCTTTCATATATATATATAGTCAAGTACAACTTGAAATACAAGTAACATAGTAAACATGTGTTAGACTATACATATCTCTAATAATTATTATGTGAGCTCACTAAGTAGAAGTAAAACTAAGAAATCAGTACTAAAAATAACCTATACCAAAGTAGTGATTATTTGGTGAAAGCCTCTCATTGCTTATACTAAAAACACTGCCATGTTTTACTGATTGTGCAGATTGAACCTGGTTTGATATCATCTGTTCAAGAAGCATCTGACCCAGCTCCTTCAAAAGACAAAATACTAGAGAATGTAAGGTCTAATTGATTGAATTTTTCTCTAAAAAAAACTGACTGAGCATTGTGCATGATGTTTCAAAAGTAATGAATAAATTGGATGTTTATGATAAATGTTCTGAAGTCCAAAAGGTGTAATTTTTTTGGATCACTTTTCATTTATTTTCCTCTTGAAGAAATATTAAGAGACTTCCATAAGAAAAACTGTAAAGTGATAGGAATAACAATAGTGGTATACAGGTAAAAACAAAACAACAAGAAACGAAGAGAGTGATGTTTAGATTTGCATTCCATACAAAACATGTTCTCTCCTTCGCTCCCCCACCATATGCGATTTCAGTGGGCATCATCACTCAGTAAATTTCTGAAGTTTCCAATGGTCTGACTCTTAAATTAGCTCACTATGCATCAGCAGTTCTAGACAGAAGCATTCATAGCTAGCAGTAATTCTCTGTTAAAATGACACCATAATAATCTGAGCAATGAGCTATAACTGTTATTTTTGTTGTGCAGGATCCTGTTCACGTCATTCAAGCATCAGAGAAAGAGATTGCAGATGAAACAGAAGAATGTAAAGAAATACATGAAGACAATGCTATTTGTCATGATGAATTACAGACAAATTCTGAAAAGGAAGAGTCACCTCAACTGCGTTCCAATGAACCATGCAATGTGGATGCTATTGATGATACAACGCCTCTATGCGAAGAAATAATCCATGACAATGCAAGTATAAAGCCTAGAGAAACCGAAGAGATAGGAGAAAACAAGGGACTCGACTCCACTTCTGAACCTTCTGTAGAATCAACCATACAGAACAATGTTGAGGACTCAAGCAGTCATCACGAGGTCAGTCTAATACCCTTCAATAAGTATCACTCTTATATGCCTTGAAATTCATGCTACCAGTTTTTGTTATCAAGTCTGTTCTTGGTGAAATTCTATTCCATTTTTCGTGCAATCAGGTTGAAGACAAAAAGCTTTCAATGTCTGAGAAAAATGATGTAGATACTGAAGCTATGCAAGAAAAAAATGATGAATCTGCCGCAGATATAAACCAAACAGAACAATGTCAAGAAGAAATTAATGTAGATGATGTTCTGCAACTTGACACAGAAGAAAATTCATTTGACAAGATTGAAGAAACTGCTTCACATGAGGAAACAGAGACAAGCAGTACAGCAGCCACTGAAGCAGTAACGATCAATGATGATATTACTGATAAGGTCAGTAAGTCAGCAGTTATTAACTATTTTGGAGTTATATATAGTATTACTAAAGTAATTATCATTTTTCTGTGTAGGTTAGCAAAGCTGATGGAGCACCATCTGACGAAAGTCTCAAGACCTTTACTGACACTGGAAGGGATCTTGATGTTTCATTGGTAATTACAACATCAAAGGAAGAAAGTGTGAACGACAATATGGAAAACCTCAATCTTGACCTTCCTGGACATCCGGCACAGGATGACAACACCCCTGAAAAGGTGCTCAGCTTAGAAGAAACAGAAAGAGAGATGCCTTCGTCAGAGAAGCTCCTTCAAACTGAACCAGGAGAGAATCAAATTCCCAATGAACAGGATGAAAAGGACATACAAGATGAGAATCAAACTCCAAAAGAAAAGAATGAAGAGGACGTGCAAGATACAGAATTTGGAGAGGCTAAGAAAGTAGTTGAACAAGAATTACCTGTCTCCCATTTTCTGATGAATCTAATATTGGGAAAACAGAGCAGTGATGCAAATGAAGATTCAGAATCTGAGGGTGCAAGGAAGCAAGGTGAAGCGACAGAAGATGGCAGCTGCGTGTTCATTTCTAAACAAGAAGAAAATCTGGGATCACTTCCTACAGAAAATAAGGTGGATGACAATCTCACCTTTGTTGAACAAGAAAAACATGAAGTTAAATGCCCTGAAGAAACACAGGAAATAGTCAAAGAACAAAGTGATGATCTTAAGCTGGACACAGAAAGATCAATTAAAACTGATGAGGATATCAAAAAGAACACTCATGATTTGGAAATACCAGCATACCAAGACAATCCCCAGGATGAAATTTCTGGTGAATTGCTGACAGGAGAAGTAGCTGGTGTTTCTACAAAAATGGAAACTAGAGATATTGATATTTCGAGTGTTGAGCTGGATGACAGAGCAGTTGGTACTGTGTGTCAGGAAAACATGGAGGCATCAACAAAAAATGAAAATGGAAGTTTGAGGAGCAGCCTGAATGACTCAACAAACACAAAGGCTCCCAAAGAGGATACTCTAGGAGAAGGACAAACAGGACTTGTGCTTGAATCTTTACCTGAAGACAAAAGTGTTGATGCAGTGTCTGAGCAAGCACCTTTGTTGACAGAATCAGGAATGACTGATGCAAATGACTTGTCTAGCGATACTGCAAGTGTTCAGAACCCTGTGTCTGCAAAACAAGACAAACCCACTGAATCTGCCAACGTTGAGGCCACATGTTCGACTGATATTCAACTGGAGAATGAAGAAGTAGATAAGAAAGAAGAGGAGCAGCATGCAAACACAGCCACAGATGAAGTTTCTGAAGAGAATGTAGAAAGTTCACATGTAAATCTGCAGAAAATCACAAGCTCCGAAGTAACATCTAATGAGCTAGCAACTCAAATTACCGAACCAGTTTGTGACACTCAGACAATTTTGGCTCGTGAAAAGGAAATATCTGAAGAAAACTTTCCAACAGCAGTCGAAATTCAGGCTGATGGTCCAAACTTGCAGATCAACCAAGATAAGCAAGATGAAGCTGCTGACAACGAATCTACAATGGAGCCAGAAAAAGTAGGGGAATCTAATTTTCAGGAACACCAGGAAATTGGTACTGAGCAAAAGTCTCCTGAAGAGACTGATGAAGGAGACCAGCAACTTTTGGCCAAGAAAGAGATTCTGACCCAAGAACAGGATGTGCATGAGACAGTCGAAAGCCCTCAGCAAACAGTGAGCATAAAATCCAATGAAGACGGGGAGCTGTTTGATCCAAAGGTCCAGGAACGTGATCTCAATGTAATTTCACCCAGAGAAGCTTCTGAGGCTGAAGAAAATTTTGTGGACGTAAGCAAGCTCTGGCTGATGCAGAGTTCAAAGGCTGATGCAGAACAGAGTCCAAAGGCTGATGCAGAAGAGAAGATTTATGACGAGAAGATAAAGGACATAGAGGGAACTAAGAATTTCACTGATGAAGCGGCAATGAAAACTGAAGCACCAGGAGCAGCCCAGAAGGCACTTAAAAAACATGGCCTATTGTCTGGTGTGGGATCAAAGGTAAAGCACCAACTTGCAAAAGTGAAGAAAGCCATTGTAGGCAAACCTGGGCGCACAAAACTAGAATCTCCGAAGGCATAAAACTTCACTCGCCATAGAACATGAACATTATTGTATTGTTTGTAGTCTTGTGAGCCATTTATTTCGGTGGTAGAATGTTCGCGATGGGCTAGGAGAAGGTCCTCTTCGCAACCGTCCCATTGAAATTCTGTGATGTTGCAGACATTTGTTTTCCCCCCCTCGAGAGTATGTTGAAGATGTATGTAAATATGTCTAGTGTGTAAATTCAAGTTTCCATGAAACTTTGAGGTAGATCAATGGACTTAGTCAATTGCTTGTATTATTTGTTGATATGCAGAAGCAATTTGTGGTCATGATGCAGCATATTCTTCACTTTACTCAACAAAGGTGAAAACCCATGTTCTGTCACTCTGTATCATGCTCCTGGTCTGGCCAATCCCTCTTCGAAAGTAAAATGTGATAATGCATTTCCAATCAGATCATGATGATGGAAAGTGGAAGCTAGAACTAAGCAAGCAAGTAATGGCTATTGAGTTTTACATTTAGCAGACTATAAACCGGCCGAAATGTGGAGAAACAATACGAAAGCATGGGTCCAGACTCGCCAGGAACAGAACAAGCAGCATCGACCCATGCCGTTGGACCGAGCCCAAATGTCGGTGGACAAAATTTAGGGCGAGAAGTGAGGCGGGCCAGATAACCTGACGTGATATGAAGACCGGATGCGGGGCAGCTGCTCTCTGCCGCGCAGCCGCATTTGGTGTGGAATCAGCACCGCGTTGGCGGACGAAACCGCCCGCCGCGCCTCTGCGACGTCCCCGTGCGCGTGCTCCATGCAATGTTGCGTCCCCAGGTCGAGATGAGCAAGTAGCGAACCGGAATGGGCGCGGAGCCCAAGGAGGACGAGCGTCGAGCAGGTGGTGGGCGCACCGCGGTACACGCGAGGCGGCGATTACAGCGGCGTCCCGCGCGCCGCCGCCATCCACCAGCACTGCCGTCGCCCTACCATCCCCCTCTCACCTCTCGAGCTTGGCGGCGGCAACGAATGGCGGATGGTGGAGGCGAGGCACGCGAGGAAGACCGAGTCAAATTGATCAACCGCGGGTGCTCTCGTTGTAACGGCTCTCTGCACCTTTGCATCTTCGTCCTAGAAGAAGAGGGAAACTCTCTCTCTCTTTTTTTTTTTTTGACAAAGGAAGAGGTAAACTGTTGAATGGGCTTCAACTGAAACGAACTATTTTTTTTTTCAGTCGGTTGACTGACAGCATCACGACCTCTGAAACGTGATGTCGGAATCACCGAATCAGTGTGATATCACAACGGAACACAGGATGGTGATCCACTACAGAAAGAAGAGCACATAGATTCATAAACAAATCTGATACGGTTTTAGCCTTGATGAGGTTATGCAGAGTATTCACAATGCCACTATAATCTGATTCGTATACATCTCAAGAGGAGAATCTGCACGTGTTACACAACATCAACTTTTCTCATGGCAAAACAAAAATCTTATAACAAAGCATTCCTTGTCACTACCATTTTCAACAAGGCACTGTTTCACTTCAACTGTATTTTTTTCCTGACAGGCCCTTGATGGTGAAGGAATATTTCATGCTAGCTTGTAACATTGAGTGAAGGCAATCAGACTCGGGGAAGAAGATATCCGGTCGTGATTCAAGCCAAAATTGTACAACCAGTACTTGGTCACGGATCAACGCTAGGACACTCTGTGCGAGATCTTTATGTAACTCATGAGCCTTCTCAGAGCTTCACCGCTATCAATGGCTTCCCTCGCCCGGTCAAGTGCAGTGTTGATATCCTCTGCTCCGCTGCAGCCTAGCAAGTGGTCAGCCATAGCTGCATTAAGAACTATTCGGTCATAGGCTGCTCCTTTCTCGCCGCCTAGTGCTGCCAGACCAAGCTCCAAGTTCTTTAGAATCTGATTCAGATTAGGAAATAAAGTAAGTGCACGTATATCCCACACCGACGAATTATGGGTCATACATGATCACTAGCAAACATTAATGTATACTGCCAGGTGCCAGGAGCCAGGGGAGAAAAGGCTTACTGATCTATCAGTTCTTGGAGTTTCAGTGGATTCAAAACCAAGTTCCTGGGCATTCACAATGACCCTGAAGCTTTCTCTAGAAATACCTGAAAGATAAAAGAAATAAGCTCATAAGCCTGAAATCATTTCATAAAAATTGACATATTCCTAACTTAAGTACAGGACAAATCCTGTTTATATGAATGAGCAGCCAAGGTACAGGACAAATCTGAAGTAGAAAACAATTGACATATTCCTAACTTAGGTAGCAGTAGCCCAATCCCTTGCCATATGAGTGGCGATCCATACCAGAAAAGAGCAGATGATGCCCTATTGTCTTGGACATACTTTAGATGACCCAGAACCCAAGCAGTGCAAGTGTGCAACCATGCTAGATGGCAGCTGCACAAGGGTGGGGATTCTCTAGAATTATGGGAAGTGATAACACTCAATCTGGTTTGATCTAATGAACCCACCCTGTCCTACAGCGAACACTAACATGCGGTAGTATTCATGTGATAGCACTAGAGAGGTTCAGTGCTGACCCTTCCTCCATCAAATGGGCCTTCATGGCCCCTAATTGGCTGTTCAGCTGATTACTACTACTAATATTAGGGCCACATATAACTAGTAAAAGGAGTGACATGTATTCATTTTTGTACCATCAGTCTCAGAGGAATTTATCCTGTTTGGTGTCCGAAACCCTGAACAGTGGTTAACAGGAAGTCCCTTTGATGCATGAGCTGATCTTTCCTTGGTTGTCATTGAAAGCGCACCTTCCTCACCCTGCACGTGCAACATATAATTGTCTTATTATGCTCTTAGCAGGGAAACCATCTATAAAGCTGAGAACACAATAGTTTTTATTGATTGCATTTGTATTACGACAAAAAGACAAAGGGAAGTGAAATGATATTTAACTGAAAAAACCAGAACTTCCTATCCACAAAATGATTTTCATTTTATTCAAGGACACATTAATGAGTTCTTAAAAAACGCAACAAGACAATACCATTGACTACCTTTACAACTAGTCCAGCGTGAACAATTCTCCTTCTCATCAGCATAAGCAAGGGATCTTCATAGCCTTCATGATAAAATCCTGCAACCATTGCTTCTCTCCCCCGTGCCTGGCAGGTGGCAGCACAAATAAGTCCAATAAGCCTTTTTTAAAATGAACTGATAGATTTGAGTGAATCATGAACCAACACATGACCAAGCCGCATTTTGCAGTTTTTGCAACAGAGTACACACGTAAAAAGGTCAACCACCAATAATAACATTACTCATTCAATTTATAAACAATGAACAAGCACTCCTATAAAGTCGTAGGTGATAAAGATCTTCAACTTCAATGACACCAAATTGTATCATCATAAGAAATAACTCCAATTATCTTGACAGTCCTTAAAACTTAAAAGTCTCATGAGAAACTTTTGCCTAAAAAATCCTAGTGCAGAAATACTTTGAAAGACGAAAGCCAAAGCTAGTAAACCACCCGACAATTTATTAAGAAAGTGTAACAGTAGATTTACTAGATCTTTACCTTATTAGTTGATCAAAGATCTTTACCTTATTAGTACAATCTTTTAAGGTATCTATAAGCACAACTGAGGATACAAAATAAAAATACTATTCCAAACATTAAAGAAATTTAATCACTTAAATGCTCTCAATTTACATATTCTTGCAATAAAAGATCACGATTGGTTGAGAAAGAGTAACTCACCCTCACAAATTGTTGAACTTTCTCAGAGGTAGCCAATGGTGGCCGTTTCTTAATATGCTCCCTGAGCCCAATAATCGAATATCTGCGAGAATAACAGGTTAAAAACTGTCTCGTAAAATATGACCTCTTTCTTGAGTAAATTCTTAATCATACAGCATGCATCCAAATAAATAATGGTAACTTAAAGTTGAAAAATCTACATGTTTCTTGCAGTTTTAATAAGAAAAGTTCATGATTCCATCCCTGCAGGAATATGAAGAAATGACTTTGGTAACCAGAGTATAAAGTTGCAAAAGAAATGACAAACTTACAATGGTGGACAAGCTTCTTGAAGATTCAAATATGCAAAACCAGTAGTCTCATCCTGAAAGCAACCAAAGAGTTGTATAATCGGATCAGTTGGCAGTGAAAAGAAACAAATATACTGGCTTGCAGCAAGAATAGGCAGAGCTGCTACCGCACCTCCAACAGTATCTTGGCTTGTGTTGGAGATAAGTGTATGTTTGCGCCCATGAATTTGAGCATTTGTCCTTCTGTTATTCCACCCTGAAAACCTTGGTCATTAACAACACAAATGGTTCTCAAACAACAACTGACAGATAAATACACAACAGAACCACAAGATAAACATTACTGAAAGCATGCAGATGACTATTGTTGTTGGATATGTTTAGTAGATAACTGACCTTGGGTGGCATCCATTCAACACCATGGAGGAGGCATGATTCACCATAGCAGGCTCGAACCGCTGCAACAAATAGAGTACTCCTAAAAAAGCGCGTATTACCATCATATGGTTCACCATAGTGTGTCAAGGACTTGATATCAGCAACCGGAGGAGGACCTGATAAAAAGTGATAATAAATGACACCATTTATTTGTCAATTCAGTCTAAGAACCCACTTGGTGTTACCTAGTTTTTCTGGAGTTACCTAGTTCATCATCAAAGGCTAGGCAATATGCTTTGAGCTCACGATCAGTTTCTCTATTCATCCGCTGTCCAATAAAAATGCCGCTAGCAGTGCTTCACTAACCTCCGTCAAATCTGAACTTGATCCAATTGGTAGAATATCCTTTAGTACACATTGAACCTCCTCATAACCTAAATGGCCACCAGCAAGCACTTCCCTCAAAGCACCTACGAGTCTCATCTCTCCAGTTCCTTGGCCAACATACCGAGGCCCTGTTAAACCATTTGCACCCATGATCGTCCCTTCAGGGTCTGCTATAAACTTCACCTCAGGAGGAAGGACTTGCACAAGGCGTGGCCAAAATATGCTCATGGCGCGTCGCTCGCCCTCGCTCCACTGCGTGGCCTCTGGAAACGAGTTAGCTCTTATTGTCATGCCTGCAAAGAACGCACCTAACTGTGCACTAGAGACTGGCTCCTCTTTGAGTTCTCCCATTGCTGCACAGAGTAGCGAAGAAAATGCGGTGTAAGCTTCTCAGGGAAGTGGAAGGCAAGGAAAAAAACAAAGAAACTGACAGCAGCGCTATTTGTCTGCATGCATGTCAACCAACCAGTAGAATCGCTGTTTATGATGATGAAGCAGAGTTTCTACGAAAAGCAAGCTTGCATCGACCTTCCAAGTTCTAATAATGGGCACCAGTGATTTACTGGACTAGCGCCAAAATAAGGCAGCGCGCTTTATTAGCAAAAATCAGCTCGTTTCGAAGCAGCCCGCGGTGCCATTTATTCAGAGTTATCCAAGGTGGCGAGCTGACTGTACTCACCGGAGCGGAGGATAGTGTCGAGGACGCGCATGGCCTGCTCCTCCCCGAGCGGGCGTGTCTGTGCGGGCCCCGTGCACACCCGCGCCTGCGCCTCCAGCACCGTGGCGTTGGGCCGCGGCAGCCCCGCCGGGCGGTACGAGTCCGACACCGACGGGTTCCAACGCCCGCCCTCCTCCAGCACGTCCATCCCGGCCTCCTCCATCCACGACGGAGCCGCCGACGCCGCCACTGCCAGGCCCCGCCGGCATCTGCGCCCGCCGCCGACCAGCGCCGCCGAGCCGACCCGCACCGGCGCTGGAGGCGGCGAGACCCGGCGCCTCGCGCTCAGGATCGGCGTCGGCCCCGGCAGCGCCGGCCTCAGGAGAGAGTTCATTGCGAGAGAGCCGACGTCAAAGCCGTGGAGGGAGCGAGAGACGGTGGGGAGACGGCGACCTCTGCAGCAGCCAAGCGACGGGACGGGGAGGAAGAACCGAGGCGGGCTGGACCGGGCCGGGCCCACCGCGCACCGAGAGGAGGGATGGGCCCCAGAGAGGTCCAGCGCACCCGGGGCTGGGACTGCGGGATCGACGCGTGCTTTGAGATCCGTGCAAGGGTCCGGGGGGTCCTGGCGGAACGGACGGCGGAGAGCAGCGGGGGAGCAGGCACAAAGCGGAGCTCCTGCGCCGCCCCCATTTCTCCTCTCCTCTCCTCTCCTCCCATCTCCATCTCTCGCGCTCGCTCTCGCGGAGATCGAAGAGAAGCGGAGGAGGCCCCAGCCCTAGCGCCGCCCCCACCGCCGCATCAACCATGGCGCTGGCCGCTCGCCTCGTCTCGCGCTCCCGTCAGGTTCGTTCTCTCGCCAGGAACCCTAGTCTCTTGCTAGATCTGATCCGGTGGCGTCTTCCTCGGCGCGGGCGCGTAGTCTGCGTGGGATCTGTGGTTGTCTCTGTGGAGTTTTTCAGGGAGGATCGGTCGCAAATGGTAGTGGATGTTCGAGTCCGATGCATTTTTTTCCCGGCGTCATAGTTTGTCAGCATTGACTGAGCGTTGTCGGAGTGTGGAAGGAATTTCTCGATTAGGAAAGGAGAATCTTTAGTTCATTTGCTGGATTGGGAATTGGAGGGGACAGGCAGTGGAGACGATGCAGTATCTTGTGTAGACATTTTCAACCCGAATGAAATTTTCCATTTACACATTTTCGCATATCCGATGCCATGGTTAGTACCAATGGACGCCATTTCCTTGTCCATGAAGGCCATCTTTCATCGAGCTCTGGATTTAGTCTGATGCATGTTGGAATTGGCATGAAGACGATGTTGCACAGGGTATCATTGATCCTAGGTGTTGTCGTGTTGTTACAGTTGATTATTGTTGTGCGTTATGAAATTATTAGTATGAGACTAAAGGGAGATTATTTCTCCAGTATGTGCCCGTCGTTAATTTTTAGTGTGGGGGCATTTAGTGTCAGCATATGTTCTGTTATTGGCGTTTCACCTTCTATACTGGCTCCAGTGTTAGCGTTACTCAGTTCATTTGTTGATGCTGCTGCAGCTATATTCAGTTCAAGCGGCTTTTGGTAATGGAGGTGGCACTCAAGTTCGCTCCTTTGCCAAGGATGCAGCTCCAGCTGACCGTCCTCCTGTCAGTGGGGATGGTAAGCTTCTTACTTTTATTTTGGGTATCCTATTGGTCGAAAAACTGCTTCGGTCATGGATCTATTACAGTTATGTATATGTGCTTGAACAGTAACTGCTTATTGCATGTGTAATTGTCAATCCTGGAAAAAGTTAACAAACCAAAAATCTTCCATCTTGAACTCCTGTTGTGATATGATAGTTTATCATGAAGCATTCCAGTGTTACAACTGTATTTACATAGCTCAGAATTTCTGTTATCTCTGAAGTCTTGGCACAGGAAGCTGAAACATCAAACTACATAACTGTGGTGTTTAGTTCATTTTTATTGAACATTTCTGATATGGCTAAGCTGTGCGTTTAATGATGTATTGTCAATCTGTCCTTTGACATTAAGACGATGTCCATTTTATAACTTACATAACTTAGATTTTTTGTTGTAGTTTCTTACGGGGTTTATGAATCCCATCTAGAGTATAGTAATCAGATAAAATAACCTGAAGGTGATCCAAACACTCCAGATTATATGTTGTATTAGAATAGTCCTGCAACTTGCTTATAACAATCGTATTTTCTGTCTCCAGCCTGTTTGTTTTAGATTATAGGTCATTTGTACTCCAAATAACAATAATCCACCTTTATAATCCATAATCCATATTATTAAGTTCATCCGTAATCCGCATTACCATAATCCAATTTGGATCCAAACAGGCCCTTAGTTTAAAATTCTGTCATGTACAATTTTTCTTTATTAGTTATATATACAAAACAATGATCAGAATATTGCTTTTGTGTTACAGAACTTTTGGAGTTTAATTTTTATTTCTAACTTCACTCTTTGATGTTATCAAGATCTCCTGAAGGGCATATTCTTTGAGGTAAAGAAGAAGTTTGAGACAGCTCTTGGTGTCCTTAAAAAGGAAAAGATCACTATTGACCCAGATGACCCAGCGGCAGTTTCTCGTTATGCCCAAGTCATGAAGACTGTAAGGGAAAAGTAAGACAACTGGGTGACTAGTATTCCATGGTCATTAGCTTATTATCTCCATCAAAATTATATTTGCTTATATGTTTTCCTGTTATAATTTATGTTGTTGTTGTTGTTGTTGTGAATTTTCTGGACGTGGTGAGAATTGGTAGTGCTAGAATCCATAAAAAGTGATTCAAAATAAGTACTGTAGAGTATGACTACGATATTTGTGAGAAAAACGTTTTGATTTCAGGATTGATTAGTGCCTAATGAGTTTTTGCTCATGCATGTATCACCACTGTTCTGTTCTGTGTCTGATAAGTTTGAAATCACATTTGTGAATTGAATTCTAGCATAAATCTAGTGTCCTGAATAAGCATTCACTTTCCTTGTTCACTTTTTATTTTGTGTATATATTCACTCAAGCCCATTGTTATTGGTCTGCTCATCTGATTATACTACTATTGTCTAAATGCAGGGCGGATCTTTTTTCTGATTCTCAAAGGATTAAATATACCATTGAGACCTTCACCAAGGGCATCCCTGATGCACGGACTTACTTGAATACTCTTCAACAGATCAGAATAAAGTACATCCATTGCCATTATTGCATGTTTTTTTTCAAAAATGCTGAATGCCACCTTTTTTTTGTGTTCACCATTTAAATGGCACAATACAAATAGCCTAGATATAATGCATTTTTTATTATCTTTCTTTTCACCTTCCGTATACTTTTGCATCTATTAGACTATACACTTTTGAAGCAAGTGCTGCCTTTTCTTCTGTGATCATTTGTACACTTTTAGCAGCAGTTTATATTTATTTGGCTGCAGCTTTGGTTCATCTTACAAAATTCCGTCACAAATTTCATGTTAGCTACTTAGCTGTTTCTTATTGTGTTTTATTATGCAGGAATGGTCTTATAGATCATCTTGGAATTGAGCCTTTGATGATGGAAGCTCTTGAGAAGATTGAGGAGGACATTAAGAAACCACTTTTGAGGAGTGACAAGAAGAACATGGCCACCCTCTTGGCAGAGTTTGACAAGATTAACAAAAAGTATGCCAATATATGCATCTTTTATCTCAATAATGTATTTTCAGTAGCAAATTTATTAGATTGCTAGCCCTCCTGAGGGATGCATATTTTGATTAGTAATGGTTGAATACTTGATGACAAAACATTCTTTTACTTGAATGGCTCTCTGACAAATATTAACCGATACATCACATGACTTTTAATCTCTTGCAAAGAATGAATGGGTATGGCCAACTGTTACTTGTATGCAGCTAGGCAATCTAGCTCAATTGTTTAGATTTGCTGATGTAGGGTTTCTTTAGATGGTCGGATATTTTAGATGTAATTCCTTGGATTGGAAAAGAATGAAATTCCTTGGCCCTGTCAATCCACTAGGTTTAAGCCTAAACCGAGCCTGTGCACAACAAGTCCTTGCAGGAAACCATTTTGACTGCATAGATGTTATTCCTTGGATTGGAAAATAATGAAATCCTTGGCCCTGCAAATCCACTAGGGCTTGTTTGGCTGCACTCCTATCCACTATGGATTGGGATAGGAAGCAATTAATTTTCCACCCCAATCCACCCCCAATACATTTGGATTGAGGTGAATACGAGTGCAGTCAAACAAGTCCGTAGGATTAAGCCTAGACCAAGCCTGTGTATAACAAGACCTTACAGAAAACCTTTTTGTTTTCATTTAGCTTGTCCTTGCATTCTCAAGTTTTTCTTCTGCACTGTTAAACTTGATATAGGCTTGGCATTCGGAAGGAGGATCTTCCCAAGATCGAGGAAGAGTTTGAATTGGAAATTGCCAAAAGTGAGCTGACTGAACTTAAGAAGGAATGTGTTGAAGCAATGGAGACTCAACTCAAGAGGTGTGCATCTTAACTTGAGTTCACTACTTGATTGAGTGCCTCTAGTATTTATAAGCTTCTGGAGACCCTAAAGTAGTTCTTTTGACATTGTTATATTTGTTGTTTGTATTACAACACCTTTTGTGCTTTTGTTGCCAGGGAGGAGTTTCAAGATGAGGAGATGCCTGATGTCAGGAAATTGGACATCAGAAACTTCCTTAGAGGCTCCTGTAGAGGCCTGATCAACGATAATCTTTGTGGCATTGCAAATCGCCCAGCCCACCCGTGATTTTTCATTGGTTTTGGTTTCAAGTTGATCGGTGCTGTAAGCTACACCTATGAATGCTGCTCCTTCCCTTTTTGTAATAAAAAACTGCACCGAAGTACAAGGACAGTCAACCGTTGAGTTGGATTGCATCTTTGCCTTTCTGCTGCTCTGGTGGCCACAGCAACAATGAGATGTCCTTGTGTTATAGTAGATGAACCAGATTATGATACGAGGCATTCAGGCAATGATGATACCTGGTATTTAACCTTTATTTTGATCTCTTTAATATCGTTTAAGAGATTGATACTCAGTTTGGAGAGTAAAGATCCATTTCAGTTTTATTCTGTTATTATTTTGGCACCTTGTAAAGCTACTGTTTGTGATTTTCTGCTAGTCATGTTTTGGCTGCAAAATTGCTGACGCGGGAGATGGTATGTTATACATTTGCATAAGCGATTGGAATTTACTTTGTCGTACGCTTAGGGATGCGGACGTGAGTGTTATTTTGTGGATAGATTTTATTTATTTTCGTGATAAAAAATGTTACATGAGAAGAAAATATTTTACAGGAAGAAATGAATATGTACCGTCACAAGGAAAAAAGGTCACCTATGCGAAAAATAACATTTTTTTAGTGACAGGTGGGTTCAGGAGTGAAGAGAGTGTTCGGCTGGCTGGGCTGGTGCTGGCCAGCCCACTCGCACGGGTACTGTTTATAAATGTATTTTTCTCTTACACCAATAGTCAAAATAGTATTTTGGTTTATTTTTTTTTAAGGCCAGCTCCCGAAATGGGCAGTAACATTTTCCATCGACATGTGGCTGTAGGAGGTGAACGCGTGGTCTCTGAGCCTGTGAGCATTGGTCACAGAAACAAAATTTGGGTCCACCTGATGAAGGCCCATCTTGGTCAGTCCAGGACTGGCATAATTTGTTTTTTTTTTTGTATCCACCCTCCCTAAAAGGTCACATCTTTGATTAAGGAAGATGATCTTTTGTATAAACCCTCCCTACAAAGTCACATCTTCGATTAAGGAAGAGGAGTAAAATATACCAACCGTCCCTAAATTTAGGAGACAATGCCATCTTTTTTTTTAATTTCTGGTCCCTAAATTTGTCCCCAACTTTAGTACTAGTCTATGCGGTTTTGACCCGCTCGTATACCGCCGTGGAGTCCTCTCCATCTCTCTCACACACATCTCAAAGGCATATTAGACAATTTCTAAAAAACATCCCATTTCTAAAACTAGAACTAGGTTGCAAGCCAAACTTGTCGACCTGCTCCGGTGTGGAGTTGCCCAAAGTGGAGCTGCTCTATGATAAAATTGGTGGAGCAGAGGTAGCTTCGTGGATGAAGTAGTTCCAAACAAACTCTTAGGTGATGTTTGGTTGAGACGAGGGAGGAGTTGTAGTGATTCTAATTTCACTAGTGTTTGGTCGAGGAACTCGAGAGGGACGAAGTCACACTTAGCACGTGTTTAGTTGCGTGAAGTTTGGATTTTGGGATACTGTAGCACTTTCGTTTTATTTAGTAATTAGTGTTCAATCATTGATTAATTAGGCTTAAAACGTTCGTCTCGTAATTTTCAACCAAACTGTGCAATTAGTTTTTTTTTCATCTACATTTAATGCTCCATGCGCGTATCGCAAGATTCGATGTGATAGGTACTGTAGCACTTTTTGAAAATTTGGATGGAAACTAAACACGCGCTTAGATAGGAATATTCCCAGTAGTTTCGGGGCAACCCGTCCGGTCGTCCCTTAATATCAGAAGTATGCACCCATCACACCTTCACGGCGTCGAGTGACTATCTGTGCTCCTCTTCGTGGAAGTCTTGCTTGAGTTGGAGCCTATAGGGGCGGTGGTCGAGCACGGCACATAACTTCGGCATGAGCTCTCGCGTGGACCGCGTCACGTGAACAGATGAATGAACCAGCACATCTCTCGACGGCAATCGACAAATCACATATCAGCCATAGCCCAGAGTACAATGAGCGAGTATGCAGCAGATAGAATCAGCATGAACAGTGGATCGATCGACATCGTCACTGCCCGAACGAAGCATCTGCATCTACGCATCTACCAATCTACATGGAGGCATCAGCCAGGTCCTTCCTGAACGGCGCCGGATGGTCGGCGGCGGCGGCGGCCGCCACCGCCTGCGCCCCGGTGCCGTCCTCCGCCTGCGCCTGCGCGCGCTCCGACACCGGCACGTACGTGGCCACCGCGTCCCTCCTGAACGTGAGGTAGACGACGAAGACGAGGTAGGCGGCCATGAGCGCGAAGACGACGATGGAGACGAGCGCGTTGGCGTACTTGGGGAGGTGGTTGTGCACCAGCCAGTCCACGTACGTCCACACCAGGAAGTAGGTGTTCACCACGATGAGCGCGAAGCTCAGCATCCACGCGATCACCACCGTCTGCACCCATCCATATATACTTTGAGACTGGATCATCAGATATATGTATTCCTTGTCAGAAATGAATTGGAAGACGGCTTACGTACGTAGATGGATTCCTTGAGGGGCCCGACTTTCTTGCTGCTGTTGCAGAACTTGAGGAGCGGGATGAGGGCGAATGGCAGCTCAAACGACAGCACCATCTGCAATATTCAAACACCTGTCGTTATAACAGAACAGAACAGAAACAGATTGCTGCTAGCTCCTGAACCTCGAGGGATGGATCACCATCCAATCCAACCCAACTGATTGAATTGCTCACCGATGAGAAGATGATGAGCTTGCCGGCGCCTGACGGCCCGCTGACGACGGAGACGATGAGGCTGGGAGCGATGGCGATGACTCGCGTGATCAGATTCCGCACCCAGTTCTTCATCCTCATGTCCAGGAACCCCTGCAAATATAAAAGTATACAGAATGATTGCCATGGCAATGGTAGGGCCTTAATTAACAACTAAACACTTGGTCTGGATGGATGGACATGCATGATGACGACACCTGGATCGATCAGTGTACAGTATTATTCTACTGACAATACCTGCATGATAACCTGCCCAGCAAATGTGCAGCTAATGGTGGTGCTCTGCCCGGAAGCCAGCAGCGCAACAGCGTACACGACGGAGCTTGATCTCCCCAAAACATTCTGAAAGTGGAAGCGAACAGCGTGCGTGAGAGTTCATCTCTATTTCACTTCCTGTGATCCTAAATGATACATATGCTATATATCTGCTTATCGCAAAAGGAAGTTTACTTAGTTAGTACAAAGTAGTGACAGCACCGATTTGTGTTGTGTGTTCCTCATACAAAACGCGGCACCTCACCTGTCATTGGATCGAGATGTACTAAAACATCTATCTCCCCTTAATGAAGCACGTGCTATGCACGATTTCGAAAAAAAATACATATATATATATATATATACAGCATGCATCCAGAAAGACTACGATCGAGTTCAGTAGTAGTGTATGTACCCTGAGCAATAGAGGGGTGGACTGCAGGGTGAGGTCGCTGCACGTGTTCGCATCGTCCGGGGAGAGGTTGCCTGCGTTGCAGATGGATCCGGCGACGACGACCACCGCGACGTTGATGAGAAACGCCACCACGAACGCGAGGCTGCACTCGATGAGGAAGTACCTGCAGGCAGCCTGTCCATTCCAGTGCCAGATCAAAGCCAAGCCATTAGCCATTATTAATTCATCAGGAAGGAAGGATACACAGTGTGTACTAATATAGCTGCCGCAGGATCCTGACACTAATCTTGTATCAGTGCAACGACCTACCCTGATGCTTTTCACTGATCGTGGGGTCTTTCTCGAGAGCACAAGAGCCGAGTGCAGGAACAAGTTGTACCTGTACGGATAAATCACGTTTCAAACTTCCAACTATGGATTTCTAAGTCATGGATCATCAATCAAATCCAGAAATTGATGACAGCATCATGCTGGTGGCAGGTACTAGTAGATTGATTGCTTACGGCGTGATGATGGCGCCGAAGAGCGCGATCGCGTTGGCCGCGGCGCCTTTCCCTTGGAGCCTGGGGACGAACATGCCCTTGACAACCTCTCCCGCGGACGGCCTCAGGTAGCTCAGCTCCCCGAAGAAGCAGGCCGCCATGGTGAACATGAAAGCCGCTATGATGAACTCCAGTTTGCGGGCCTGTGTGCAGTGGCGGAACCAACAAATTTGATTAACGGTGCCGGACAAATATGATGACATCTCTCAATGTGATAAATATATATAAGTGCATGTCTTAAAAACTATCTCAATGTTTTTACTTATATATATTATAATAAAAAATGTGTGATTTGAATTTGATGCCTTATTTTACTGTAAATTGGGATATTTATATAGGGGTACTAAAAGGAAATTCCACTCGATTGGGGGTAGGGGTGGGCGGGGCGTGGCCCCTTCTGGCCTCCCCTAGTTCCGCCACTGCCTGTGTGGCGTGGTGCACATATGCAGTGCCGGCCCTAGGGGTAGGCCACCAGGTGCGACGGCCGAGGGCCCAAGCGGAGGAGGGGCCCAAACCCAAACCTAGATATACAAACTCCCAGGTCCTATAGTTCATTAGACATTAGCAAACTAATGAGAAGAGAAATATAGAACTGGTCAGGCAGTCCAAAAAGACAATATCGACATTCTTTTTCTATTTTTCTTTCCCCATGGCCCTCGGGTAGAGAGGAAGTGAGGAGTCACGCTGCACACAGCACACTCTGATCGTGAATTCGCGACGTGCGCCTTACACACGCGGAGCTGGCGAGCCGCGCCGCCGCGATGAGCCAGACTACCGGAGACACGGACACGGCGCACGAGGACGGCGACCAGGCAGGGCTCCACGACGACGACATCTTGATTCTTGGTTTATTACGAATTGCGATCACCGATCAGTTGTTTAGGCCCAATGTATTTTTTTCCTTTTTATTTTTAATCCAAATTAATTATTTGTATAGTATTCCAGACCTCTAGTACTTTGTACCCATATAGTCATATTTTTCTTCTAATTTAGGTGTTAGAATTTTAGAATGTTACCTACGAAACATTTGTAATGGGTGAGAAAAGAAAACAAATATCTTGCTTTTTTAATCTATATTATTCATCGATAATTATCATACATCTACAAATATATTGCTTAATCTACATTGTTCCTCGATAATTATGAGACATGTCAAATTAAAAATATATTATTGAATTTGTTTTCGTTTTGCAAGTAAAATTAGTGCATATATATTATAAAATTTTATATATGGTCCAGAGAGGCCGTTGCGACGAGATCGCCAAAGGGCCCTTAAATTCCTAAGACCGGCACTGCACATATGTATGTCTTAGTTAGATGGCTAGGCCAAACCATCTTCAAGGTGCTGTATCCTCACTTCCTCAGTGTGAATGAATGTTATATATAATACCATACCCCAAATCTCTGCACTCCAAGAAGCAAGAGCGTGCTGAACACCGTGAGGATGACTCCAGCCCACACTGGGATCTTGAGCAGTATGTTGAATGCAAAGGCTGTGCCCAGCACTGAAGTATTGGAACAATCGATCAACCTTCAGGGATGTCATCATAGCACACACAAGGAGGAAAACTAATTGTCTAATTGACCAACCTTCAGGGATGTCATCAGATATCACTGCCAGCTCCGCGATAATCCACAAGCAAATGTTGACGAAACGCGGGTACTCTTCCCTGCAGAGTTCAGCAAGATGCTTCCCTACACCAAATTGACCAATGTCATGCACGGGTTTGATGAGGTTATGTGCCTAATTGCCTTTGCAGGATTTGATGTACAGATATCAACATGGATGTAAAATGATACCTGTCTTCACTCCAAGGTTGGCAGCTAGTGTTTGGATCAAAAGTGCAAAGACCATTCCAACTAAAATCACCCAGAGAAGCTGTTCATCATAAAATTGCAGTACAAAGCGAGGTGATCAGATGGTGTTGAAGACTTGAGAAAAGAAATTGAGGAAATGACGCAGTTTGCTGCTCTGCTCTGCAGCAGCCGGCTGTGCTACCAGGGAGGGTCACTGTGACCCCACCAGCAGCTCCGTTGCTCGGCCGGCGGACCACGGTGCTTCACGTGGCACTGGTGAGACCGTGCCGGACAGCGTCGTCCCTACCAGCGGCGGCCAGCGACACCAACGACGAAGGCGTCTAGGGAGGTTGGCACCGGCCGCTCCAACGGCACCGGGCGAAGCTTCTACCGCTGCTGCTGCCTGCTTTCCTGAGCCGGACCCGCTGGTCTTGGAGCCCTGCGCGGGCGCGGGGCCTCCCGCGTGGGTTGACCCGATGCTGGAGGAGCTCACTGCCTCGCTCGTCGCGACCCGGCCAGCGGGACCAACGACGCCTTGCTGCCCCACTACTCCGGCGGGCGCCTCCCTAACGACGGTTTCGCCACCGTTGTCGCCTGAGCTGGAGATGCCGCAAGTCACGCCACCAAGGATGGGACAGCACGGCGTTGCGGATCAGGTGGCCGTTTCTGCGCCAACGCAGCCCGGCCATCCTGGCGCCGACAACGCAGCGCCGCCCGTATCGAGGGCCCAGTCCCTGTTGGCACAATTGGAGGCGCGGTTATGCATCCCGCTCGACACCCCGTTGCTCAGCACGCCGAGGCTGAGAAAGTCCAAGACACCTTCAATGGTGGTGCGTCGGAGTGGGAGGCTGGCAGCTTAAGACCAAGGCCTCCAACCCGACTCTTCAAGCACAAAATGTGCTCAAGCAAAAGCTGGGGATCGTAGATAGGCCGCAGGGTACGGACCCTGTGGCTTTGGACAGTCTCAAGGCACTCTTCGCTGCGCCGTTGTCGCCCTCCAAAATAGAGGCCCTTCAGGTGCTCTTCGCTCCAGGCTTCGATCCGGTTGCCATGGAGCTGAACCTCACGGGCTTCGAGGACGACGCTCTTTACCCGTTTAGCCGCTGAGCTCAGGGTCTCCAGGGGGGCTTGATCCTTCACTTGGTCGCTAAGTTTTTTCTTCTGTAAATCACAACTGTGTGATCTCTGTCAATCTTTGGCTCGGTAATCAAAAATTACCGTTCCATCTTTAATTTGTAAAACTCTACTTCTGCTTAATGAAAACCGTGCCTATGGCACGTTCGAGAAAAAAAAAATGCTGGTCAACTAAGGTCTGGAAATGCAGAGCACTAAAACTAAAAGCAGGGCAGATCCTTGTTGGTGCAGACACATGTTTAGTACAGTTGAAATATTATATGCAGATCGTGCACTTTCAGTAGGAATAATCGTTCTAATCCAGCTACTGAGTCAACACAAAAAAATCCTGAAAATGTCCACGAGGTATTTCATGAATAATCTACCAGCTTTCAAAATTGAAATTCTACTATGGACTAATATTGGAATCTGAAAAAAGATATAAATTTTCAGGCAATAACATAGTCTTCTATGTTTCTTTTCCTTTCCCTTAGTTTACAACTCGTCATAAGTCCCTTTTGTGCATTGATTTTGCAGCTGAAATTTGTTTTTTTTTTTGATGAAATCACCGGGCGGGGGGGAGTCCCCCCTTCAGCACTTAAGTTTACCTCAGCTGAGCTTACAAAGCTCACATTTGCATTTTTGATATCTGTTTCTGGGAGGGAAATAAAAGCTTGATAAAGCATTGGCTAATACAAAGTTGGTAGTTGTGGTCAGTCATGACAAGAAGCCAAGAACTACATAGCCTACCTGGTACTTGTAGTCGGCCCCAGCTTGCATGTCAGTTTCCACTGTCAAACCATATTCAGAACCAAGCATTACCACTGTAATTACTTTCTATTTCTTCCCAACAACAGAGTATCTAAACAGAAAACAGTATGGCAATCTGAAAAAAAAGATGAGAGAGCTTACAGTTGCTAGGATCCAGGAAGCCAATGGCCACAAGAGCTCCAGGTCCAACATGGGCCAAGAACTTCCTCCATTTTGGCTGTTACAGGCCAGCAGCAAAGATTAGCATTGGACAGTAACAAAAAGGGGCTGGATTTAGACCTGCAAACGTGGACAAATGTGATTATGTACCTGAACCCGAAATTCCTCGTCTTTTCCACCTTCATGGCGAGCTTCTCGTCCAATCTCCCCCATCTCACTAGCCTGCTCCATTTTCTGTTTTAGTAATGTGCCTATCACTGGAAGTTGGCCAGACAGAGTCTTGCTCTTTTCAACAAGCCACGTTCTTGTGTATGTATTTTATAGGCCAGGGGCACGTTGAAGACTGCCCCATACAGACACTGAGACGTCAAGTGCAGTCCAAGAGCAGGTGACTAGCTGTCATCATGGTTCGTCTCCTGATTCCTCACTTATTGTATGCTTTTGAGATCTGAACCCTTAGTCCTTACTGCGTGTGAAAACTCTCTTTTCACAGGGCTTCTGGAGTGGCTCCGGCTCTGATCAAAGCGCTGTCAGACGGCCATTCAAAAAACAGCTCTGGCGAATAAGCCTCGAGGAGCCACAGCCGTTTTTCTATTGGGCGGGCAGAGTCAAAAAAAAAAAAACGTAGCTTCTTCCAGCTCCGGTTTACAAACATGGCACGAATTATAACAAAACTGTCAGCATAGTTGTTTTTGCCAAATGCTTTTTAAAATAACTTCACCTTTATTAGAGAAGCTGCTCCACAAAAGGAGCCAGAGTTGAAGTCCTTTAAGAGGAGTCAGTGCCTTGTCAAACTGGCCCTTATGCCTTCGAAGCTCTAGCCGGTTCGGGCTCTAGCTCCGCCAACTACTATAGCAAGAAGTTATTTTTTATCGCTCTTCTCAAAAAAAATTAGAAGTTGTTGAAGCTTCTATTTTTAACTTCACCAACTCTGGTTTCTTCGTGAACTGTAGCTAGAGATAAAAATGGTACGAATATTTATCCAACATCCATTGGACCGAATGATATGAACACTTATTTGGATAGTTACTTTGATATCCGGATATTTTTTTTAAATACAGATAATAAAACGGATACCTTATGCGAATACCGAATACGGATGTAATATCATCAGTATATATCTGTCGGATATCGGTTAATCCGGGAAAAAATCGGATATATCCGGTCGGATATTATCTGAACAGCACACACCAGCCAGCGCATACACAGGCCCCCAGTGCTCTGTTTGTGAGGAAGAAGAGAGGTAAGGAGGAAAAATGATTAGGGAAGTTCTCCAGGGTTCCCAATGCAAAGATCTAGACTCAGATGAATAGTGTTGTATAGTGTTCATGTGCTGCGGGTTAATTCCATAGATTCAGGGTTGCAGTTGCAACTATGTCTTTAGTGGTTTTCCTTTTTTTTCTTTATTCTTTGAATCGGCTAAAACTTGATAAATACAGAGTAATTCGTAGAAAACTCCAAAAATGGCAAATCCAGTTTTGTTGAGCTCCACATAAGTAGATCTATGCAGTTAACACATAATATGACAGGTTTTAGTAGAAAAGTTTTTGTTGTAGATGCTTGGCTATGCTTTTTAGTGTGAAATTCATATCTGCAGTTATATTGCTCCAAATGCTATACAAATTTTGTGGTAGGCTATTAATGTCATGCTTGTTCTGTGGTAACAATTTCAACTTTATTGGTGCATGTATGACCGAGTTGTTGATTTAACTTGGTTTAGGCTTAGTAAATGGTTTTTAAATAATAAAAGTGTGTAAAAATATAAAGTGTAGTTCCACTGCCTTTGTATATAATATAAAGTGTGTAAAAGTATATATATGTTGTTTTTACTCGATATCTGAATATATATTTGTATCCAATATTCTCTGAATCCGATTCATACCGTATTCGATATATACTCATTATTCGTATCCGTAACCGGGACGGTCCGTATTCGTATATGTATCCGGTAGCTATCCGTGTCCAAATTTGAATCCGAATAGAAATATATTTGTATACTCATTATTCGTATCAGCGATATCCGTTCGTATCCTATCCGTTTTCATCCCTAACCGTAGCAAGGAATCGAAGCCACTTGGAGGCGCTTATTAGTGTCGAGCTGGTACATACCATGTGGGGATTAAAATAGCAGGGGATGTAAAGACTGCCTTCAAATGGCTCATGTAGGTCGTATATATACTGAAACTTTCTAGTTGACAGACTATATGTACCAGCTCGACACTAAAGCACCGTATATATAATCTGTCAGCTAGAAAGTTTAAGCACCGTATATGTATTACGTGTAGGTCTCATGTAGCGTGTGTAGTAGTGTGTTCCTTTAACTAAAGAAAATAGACAAATGAAGTCAAGAAAAGCAGTAAACACCTACTCCTAGATGCTACTACTGATGTGGCTCTCATGGCTGCTTCTTGCCAAATATTTTGGAGCCTTGCAGGCAGCCATCTTTTGGTGAAGGCAACCTAACTGGAAGAAGCTCAGACCTGGTGTAGCCATTATCTCTGTTATATATATATTATAGCCATGCAGGTGATATCCTTAAGAATATGCACGGCAACAGATGAAAGGACAAGAAGCGTACTGTCACACTGCATTGAAATTAAAACTCTATGATTATATGGGCCTTATTAACCTTCCTCTTCATTGGAATCTACACTCTATTCACCAACTTGGAGCTAACTACTCTACTAGCTTAGGAAGAAGAGAGTCTATAAGATATTATCTGCTTCACGGACGTTTGACGATTTAGCTCATCTATCCGTAGACCATGTCTGATCGATTGTCGCGATCATTGATATATCGAAGCAGAGTGCAGAGTGGAGAGGAGTTGTGCCTATCAACGTTACTCTTTTCCCGTCGGCTCACCTTATCAATATGATTATTGGATGTCTTAGTGCAAACGAAAACCTGCATACTACTATCAGCAGCAATCAAGTGACTGAATGGTCTCCTTAATAAAATACGTGCCTCGTGCCTCGTGGCACGGTCGAGAAAAAAGTGACTGATTGGGTTCAGTGACCCTTGATACCTCGAACAGCTAGCATGCCACGGATAGGAACGGGGAGTCTGTTCGGCAGGACTGAAAAATAAGTCAAAATACTGTTCCGGGTGATTGTTGTGAGAGAAAAATACCGTTCTATCTAAAAACACTGTTCACGTAAACAGTGTTTGTGTGAGTGCGCTGGCCAGCCCAGCCCCAGCCGGCCAGCCAACTGAACGCAGCCGGGATGGGTGGACCAGCACCCTCTCCACCGTCGGTACGGGGGGAGGGGTGGTTGTTGAGGATGAAAGTGAGGGAGATGCCTAGGGAGGTTTGGAGTGAAAAAGCCTACCACGCGCCCCTCAATGTGTGCCACACTTGGTCACATATATCTACCTCAGCAGTGATGGTGTACATATGTCGCATAGGATATAATCGTAAGTGAATTGGTATGGACCCTACACCGCACTACTCATAAAGTTTTTAGACCTAGAAATAAAAAATTAAAGTTAATGAACCTAGTCGACATAGACAGATAAGTTGATAAACTAACAATGCATTTTACTCTAGTAGTTAGGTGCTAGTCCATCTGGGCCTATTTGGAATGGTCACATTTTGAAAAACAACATCCAACCTTCTGTACATGGTTGCAATCATCTGTTCGAAAAAGAGTTTGCACTAGTTATACGGAGAGCAAAGCCAAGTTACCGCCTTAGTAGTACTAAGTCAATGGCTAGACGTCCTTGTATAGTTTCCCGCAAAGCCAAGTTACCACCTTATTATTAAGTCAATGGCTAGATGTCCTTGTATAGTTTGCTTAGGGAACTCCCGATGCATAGTTTCTGCGGGTGGTTTCTAGAGGGGAGATGGTGCTGTTGGAGTAAAAAGGCAAGAACAATGCATAATTAATCCATCGTATTGTGATGAATCATGAGGAGAACATCTACCATCAGATCAATAGTGGAATTAGCAATAACATGATAATAGACACAACGATTTACGGAGAAAATATCCTCAAGGTAAGGAGTGAAAACCACGGGACCAACCGGTATACTCCAAGCTTCCATTACAATCAACAATGGATACAACGAGTCTTCTTTAGAGAATCTACAGGATTACATCAATAGCAACGCATTCATCAAATTATAAACTTGACATCAACTATAACCACAACCTTTTAACAAGAGAAATGACAACAACCAAACAGAGAACTCACATATTCTATCCCTCTTGATTATCAATTCATATTTCATAAACCACAACTCCAATGTGCATGAAGTATGGTAGGCATGTAGATCCACGAATCCGGCCCGTAACCATCGACCAAGGTTTATCTCAAGCAGACACCATTTCACCACCCAAAACAATCTACCAAAACTATTCTGTCCTAAAATTGTAGTAACCCGAACTGAAAAAAAAACTTTCCAATATGGTGCTCTACTCAACCAATCCTCAAACCAACTGATGAATTGATCAAAGTACTATAAGTGAGGAAAGAACTCACCAAGTTTGGTGCCAATCCAACCATGTTTGAGCCTCCAATAGCTGAAGATAAATGGTTCAGCACCACCAAATCAGACATATTTGCTTCTTCTTCTCCACCCCTTCTCTCACGGTGTGGTATTCTTGTGTTCTGCTCTCTCCTCCCTCCCCCTCTCAGCAGCAGCAGCTGAAGCAATGGAGGATAGGTTTTGTGATTTTTATTCCATCCAAGGATGGATCTCCGTCGTAGATTCCAACCGAAATCAACGACTCACGAGAACTGGGCATGTGACCTATATTTGGGTTGCTTTGTTGGGCCCAAAATCATTCTCCATGTGGATGGACAACCCAATAGGTGCAACTTAGACCCAACCATCCCAATGCATAGTTTCCTATAGTAGTTTCTATAGAGAATAAAATTTAATTAGCATTTGCATATACACTATAAAGAAAGAAGATTAGCTGTGACAAAGTAACACTGTGACATATGCAAAAAGTCTACTTAACCCCTTGATGGGTATCTACTTCACCCCCTCACCTATAAAACCAATTATTTTACCCCTTAAACTATTGAAAACCGTATAAATAACCCCCTTATGCGGTTTTGAAGGTGGTTTTATTGATGTGGCATATTAAAAAGTCTATATAATCCTCTCAACTATAAAACGTGATGTGGCGTGGTGCATGCGTGTGGCAGGGACTGCGTGAGCGGATAAGGAAAGGAAATAGAGAAGAGAAAAGGAGGAAAAATAAAAATAAAAAGACAAGGGTA